TGAATGAAATTGTCAGTCCACATTGCGATATCCCTTTCTCATTCTTCGGGTGAACGAACCTCCATGCCATCCAATCAATCGCAAGTCCATGGATATCACCCTCATGAAAAGCGCCACAGAGCACATCACGCATCTCGCCGCCTGCTCCGACTCGGAGTCGGTTACCCTCCTCCTTGGTACCTTCCCCCCCCCCAAGCGGACGAAATGAATCGTCGAATCAAAAATGCATTTACACAAGCTCGGAAACTTGGCTCTAAATTTCCATCCAACTCGCCCAATCAGGAAAACTCTTTGTGTGTGCCTGGGTTCATCAAAATCAAAACAAGACACGTCATGCTGTCATGCGGTCCAAAAAAGAAAAAAATAGGCTTTTTTTGCTTGGTGTGACCATGTGGGATGGCGCCATTTGGCATTTGGAAGATCCAAGTAGGGTTTTTGAAGAAGTGAGAAAGTGCGGAGGACGGGGCGAACGATCCGTTCTCGTTCCGCGTAGCGAAGATAACCCACCCAGTACATATGGTTGGATTGTTAGTCCAATAGGTCAGCCGATGGGCCAAGTTGATAGTCAGTTGATCATGATGTTGGTGAGCAGTGATGTTTGTCGGTTTGATGCAGATGATGATGATCACGAGGCCGTCGGAAACGAAAGAGGCTTGCCTGCATGGGTAAGGTCACGGTGAATTATGAAGAACGCGGATGATGCGGTGAGTCGGTGACTTACCGCTCGTTCCTAACATCTTTTTGTCAGACCAAATGTGTATGTGCGTGCCGATCTTCGCGGGAGGTATGTAGATGGGGAACGAAAAGTTCATGGGATCTTTGCATGGGTACCGTTGACGGGAGTTGTAGGTCAGCTGCATCTTGAGGAACCTGGAGGGGTGATCGAAGGAAGATAATTGTCGACATTACTTGGTCGCCTGGTCACCCTTGATATGGCCCCTTGACTGCAGTCGTACAAACTTGGACAAGCGCTAGTTCACGGCTAAGCGCGAGGGTAGAAAGATCTGGGAACTGAAGATCAGTCGCCACAAAGCAAAAGCCTCTGCAGGCTCAATAAAAACACCTGCGGGAAGTACCATTGTTAGATAGATCCTTCTGATCGCCCATGTTTTCGGCGCAACTTGCCGATGGTTATGTGGTGGGTTTCTGGAGGTCGAAAACATCTGTGGGTGAAGGGTCATGGCACCTTCCGGTGTACGCTCAACTGATCCACTCACGTGGATGTTCTTCGGACAAGACTACATTCTGCATGTTTGCTACGCTTTCTGGCAAATTTGGACCTGACTTCATCCCTGTTCGGAGAATGAGTGCACAAATAGATGTTTTCCAGGACCGACCGTACCCGTCTTCAATTTCCTTCAATAAAGGCCCTTCCGAAGTACGCTTAACTGATCCACTCACACGTGAACGTGGATGTTTTTCGGCCAAGATTACATTCCCCGAAGGTGAATGTTTGCTGCGCTTTCCGGCAAATTTGGACCTAGATGCATCCCCGTTCGGAGAGTGAGTACACAGATAGATGTTTTCCAGGACCGACTGTACCCGTCTTTCATTTGCTTCAATGAATGTCCGGGGTTGTGGACTCCGTTGGCGTCGCATGACACCTATCGTATTCAATTCAGTAATGCCGTTGGGTTCCTTGAACTTGTGTTATTGCGTCTTCTGGCCTCACATGAAATCTTAAACCTTGATGTTGGAAGGGGTCCAGTCTATTGAATTGAGATTGGAAGAGTGTATGGTATGAGGGCGTCTGTATTGTACAGGCATGAATGCTAATACAAGATGAACAGCGGGAATCTGAAAAAGGTTGAGTGCGGTGCATGACGGAAAGCAGGTGACTCACAGATATATGATGACACAGCGATATACAGGGAGAACGGAGGATATATGCGAGGATGGGATATGCGTGCAGATTATGGAAAGTGAGGGACATGTCCGAGAAATAGCTGAGATGGGGTGCAGCCGAGCGTCATGCGTCGTCTGTCATTATGGCAAAGAATTCTTGCTCGTTGATTTCCCCATCTTGGTCCAGATCGAATTCATCGATCATGGCTTGTCTAAGGAAAGGGCGAAAATCAGAGCTACATCGCGGTCATGTGGCATGAGAATCGTACAGCTCATCGTCTTCTAACCGGTCACCAACTTCTTTCGCGACGCGTCTTAGATTCCGAAGGCTGATCTTGCCCGTGTTATCGTCGTCAAATAATTGGAAGGCGCGTCTGATTTCCTCCATAGGGTCGCGTGCCAATATTCGTTCGCTCACTGGAATCAAAGTCACAGTCAGCACGCGCACATAAGACAGAAAAAGGCAACATTGGTGTGAAAAGGTCGCGTTGAACAGGCGCAACATAGACGCGTCAAACTCACTGATTTTCGCGAAATCTTCAAAGTCCATGAGACCATGACCTGTCTTATCATGGTCTCGCAGAATCTTCAAAACCTCCGCCTTCTTCATGTCGAAGCCTAATGCCCGCATAGCAACCTTCAGCTCGTGGTAGTCAACACAGCCATCCTTGTCCGTGTCAAACAGCTCAAAAGCCTCCTTTATCTCTTGCTTTTGTTCGTCAGAGAGCTCTGGTCGCGTGTGCGTCCGCCGTTTGGCCTTTTGGGCTGCCGAAGATGAGTACATCGTTTTGAAGAGGGTTGAGGTGCAAAATGTGTTGACGTGACCCGTCACATAGGTAATTCTCGCGTCGGCACGTGATGTGTCATGGATGTTCTCTCAACCAAATTACCCTTGCGTGAATTCACACTGGCGAACTTAGACGCGGGCTCAATCGGATCGCCGTCTTGTCGCCCTATGCACAGCAACCATTACAATCCTACATATACCCGCTGGAGATACCTTCTTTCTCTTTATACCCATCTTGATTTTCAACCCCGCGGCGTATGTCTAGATCAAGCACACCGATGGTGACTCGAACGGGATCAGGCGACCTGGTCGGTAGCTTTTGCTTAATGACTCACTTATATATCAATTAGCTACGCGCAGGATGTTGATTCTGATTACTTTAATGATGAAGACGCTCTGTTCTGCAGTGCAGTGGCCGGGTTGTCGAGTGAGTGCCAGTTCAATCCCCCAGCTCGCTTAAAGCTGAATACCTCATCAGACGAGTCGTTCGATAACTCGCCATTGAGAGCGCCTAAGAAGCGCTATTCAGACAAAACGCGTGGTACTCCATCTGGTAGTACCCCAAATGTTGCATCGTCGTTCCATGCGACGAGGACTCCAGAGTCGAATCCTTTTGCGAAGGAGCTTTTTGCAACAGCAGTGAAAAAAGGCATGTTTCTCACCCATTTACTCTATGATATCTGTCTGATGGATAATCTCCAAAGCTGCGTCGTCTGCGTCTGCGACGCGGCGCCAGAATCCCATTCCGATAACTCCTTCCAAAACCCCGGCGAAGTATCCGGTGAAGCAAACCCCCGTTGATGTTTCCTCCACGATTCGAAAAGAGCTTGCGAAAATAGACATCAGCGACTCATCGTCACGTAAGTACGACAGATACCAACACCCATGATCAACTTTAATTCGAGATTTAGCTTCCCCTCCCGCTAAAAGGCTGTTTGTTAAGCCTCTGGCCTCCAAGGTTTGTTCGTTCCTGGTCTGAAGGTACATCACTCAACACGTATCACCCTCAGTCTGACGAGAAACGGAAGATGATCGTTGTTGGAGATACAGATTCAGACACGGAAGGTACGCTCGCTCATATTTTTGCGCTGTGAATGAGCTCATATTTATGTTGAATATGTTCAGAGCGTATGCTGAGTTTTCTCGATCTTCATGACAAAATCTAATTATGGCCATAGTATTCACTGATACAGATTGTTCCCCCATCAACCCGTCTTCCAACTCTTCGTTTGCTTACCCTTTGTCTGGCTCAAATTCGTCGTTTTCCTTTGTTTCTTCCCAATCATCCTCATCTGGCCCGTCTTCACAAGAGGGGAAACTTGACCGACATGGCGCAAACAGCTCTCCTCAGAAGGCTAGGACACCATTCACAGAGGGTGTCCCACTCAAGTCCACTTTCTTTTGCAAGCCAAACACTCAACTCACTTCAGACGCCCCCATCTCAACCACGCCTCCTCTGCCAGTAGCTACCACGCAGTCGGTCACACCAGCAACTCCGATACCAGAATCGGTAACGGAGTTTTGTAAAAAGTCCCTTAGTACTAAACTCGACAGTTACATTATTGCTCATTGTTCTACAACCCAGTCGATTTTTGAGGACCACAACATCGCATGGGGCACGCAGTACGAGTTGGCTAGGGGTGTCACTCATTGTACCTGGACTTGGGAACAAGTCAGAGAGCAAGTGCCAAACCTCACTGGACCCAACACCACAGCTGCTTACAAGGTTCGAGCTGTGATGCGAGGGAAGGCCATACCGCTCAAAAAACAGAACTTCGCAGTCTGGTTGGTACTTTTCCTCCTTTGTCGTCCCTGGGCTCCAATTTTTTGTCACGAAGGGCGGAGTTGGACCGTGAACAAGACGCTATCAAGGAAAACCTATCTCGGGGCTTAGGCCTTATGGGACCTTGGAAAGGCGATCCGGACTGGCATGGTGGCCAGGTACAACAACTAGCACAACTAGTCAAAGTGAATGGCTCGCTCAAGGTTCAGCTCGAGCCACTGGAGAAACGTCGCTCGCATAGGTTTGCTCGTTTCTACGGCTCTCGTCGCATTATTCAACTCCGGATTCCGGACGACATGGTGACCAAGGATAACGCGACCGTTAAGCAATTTCTTAGCCAGAAATTCATACTTCTAGGTCGCATTTTCGTCCCATTTCACTCGAAGGATGGGGGCGTGTACATGGTTGAGACTGACCAGAACTCTGGGCGTATACCAAAGGGTTCTTGCGGGGATCAATACCGCCTATCCTTTGATGCCTTCATGCGGTGGCACAACCCCTTGGAGTACAATTTCAAACAGGTTTGTCGTGGAACACGCTTTCAGAATATGACGAGCAGCTTACCCTTCCCCATTTAAAGGCTGCGAGCAAGTTTGTTACTCGGTATGCGCTGGGCTTATCGAACTCTATCCCAGCGCTCGAATTCAGCGTTGAAAATATCATTTTCATCAGAGACATCTGTGCGTGAACACGAGTCATCCGCGTTCAGTATTAGCCTGACCCATCATCTCATTAGACGCTGAAGATTGGCATGGAGAGGACCACAAAGCTCCAGCCGAAAAGATTATGACTGATGGGTGTGGTTTTATCAACCTCACCGCCATGAAGATCATCAAGAAGAAGTTCAACTATGATTCACTTCCTACCGGGATTCAAGGTCGCATTGCTGGTGCAAAAGGGATGTGGATCAGGCACCCTACCGACGACAGTCTTGAACCCAAGATCTGGATACGTGACTCGCAAAATAAGATCAAGCTTTCAGAGCTGGACAAGGCTCACAGGATATTCGATCTCCTCTCCGTGTCCAAGCCCTCGTCCTCAATTGCTTTGTCTCAGCAAAGTATCCTCAACCTCTCTTTCAATGGTATCCCCGACGACGTTTTGGTCAAGCTGCTGGAACAGGGAATCGTCGACGAGGTCATGCCCCTCCTTGATTGGAAGCGACCTAATGCTATGACAGTTTTGTGGGATGCCATCAATAAGTCAGCTGGTGTATCCGGGTCTAGGACGCAGAGGGTCGCGGCTGGGGCTAGTCGTGCCCTGGGGTTTCAGCGACAAGACTGGGGCCATGATGACGTGGTTGCTGATCAGGATGCGGAGACACAGGATATATCGGGAACAACCTACACGGGCCGAAACGAATATAGCAAAGGTAAGTGAACCAATTCTGGCTTTGACACTCCTTTGTTGACCTATGGCAACAGCGCCACTTGCACTGCACGAAATGACGATGGAGCTCATTCAGGCTGGTTTCCACCCTTCGCAATGCAAGATCTTGCAGGACAAGATCAAATTCATGGTGCAACAAACGATCAATTCTTCGGTGGAGAAGTATAGGATACCTATAAAGGAATCCACGGGAGGTTACATTGTCGCAGGCAAGTTTCTTATTTCTTGCCTTGGCAGAATGTTAATCCTGTATTCCAGACCCCACTGGTCTCCTCGAGGAAGGTCAAATCTACTATCGATCTTCAGTGCCCATGACAGACCCGGACACCGAAATGGACTACTTCGTTTTGCAAGGAGAAGTGGTGGTACGTCGGTCTCTTGTTGTCTAAATTGCTAGCCAATCTTATATTTTTGTCAGCTCGGGCGGTACGTTGTATATAGCTATCACTGTCTTGCGAAACTGATTATATCCAGGTATCCAATCCGGCTTCCTTCTGATATGCAAAAGGTAAGAATCCCACCTCAATAATGAACCTCCTTACCCAACAATGCCACAATTAGGTGACGGCTGTCGACATTCCGGAGCTTTTCAATTGGCCCGACGTGATCATCGTTTCCACCAAAGGAAAGTTTAGCCTTGCCAGTCTGCTGAGCGGCGGAGGTGAGTGACATTGTCAACATATTTCCTCATTTACTGATCAATGTTGAATTAGATCAGGACGGAGGTAGGTGTCGGCTTGACTAAAGAACTATGCCTGACATCTGACATGACAACCACAGATGAGCTTCTAGTCATCAAGGACAAGTTAATCGTGGATTCTTTCAAGAACCAGCCGCTCACCGTCATACCATCAGGCTTAATGGAGTCAGATTTTGAACGCGAAGTGGAGTCTGTCCCCGATTTCTGTTGCCGCGCTTTGAGCCTTGAGGAAGCGGCGTCACATAAAGCATTTCAAGAGGTCCTCCTCCTCAATCTCAATGTTTCCCAGGTCGGTTTGTATTCCACATTCCACGAGAACGCCATCTGGAAATATGGCTATTCTCACCCCGAGACTGTTCGTTTGGCGTACATGCAAGTGTCCCATCATTCTGGTAACCTTTGCGGCAATTAAACAGCGCTACATAGTTTCTGCATTCTACTGGATTCGAGCAAGACTGGGCATCGTCTCAAGAGCGGTATCTTCGAGAAGGACCGGAAGCGATACGTTGGTCAAGAAGAGCCATCTGGCATCCTTCATCGACTGTTAAAAGCTGGAAGAACCAAAGGCGACGAATTGATCCAAGCATTCCATGATGCTTGCAAGGAAAATCTAGTCAAAGATAAGGCAATACTAGAACCTTACAATACCGCTTCAAACTATGCACTGGTCACCTTCGACACTAACAAAGTTGTTGGGCAGATGTTCCTCGACGAACTTACGCGTATCAGGAAGCATGTTGATGATGCGCATCTTGAGTTTGGTAAAAGTGCCAACCATCACACTCCCGATACACCTACGCCAGGTACGCCTAGCAAGAAGTCCAAGAAGGCCAAAAGCTATCGAGCCACAGCTGATCAGGACGATAAAATGTTAGCCGCTGCGCAAAAGTACGCGGAACCACTGGAAGGGATCATCCTTACCCGGGATTTGGAGTCTGTCATGGCCTCATATGCCTACGCTGCGTCAAAGTCCCCGCATTTCGCATTCACGGTGGCATTTCAGCAAATCTGCACCATCAAGGCGAAGTCATGCAAGGGTGGTATAGCTCCATCCACTAGGGAGTTTGATGAAGCTAGGAAGATTACGGCTTCTTTCTTGAGGGCGCTCAATCGTGGCACTGATGACAATTACTATGGTTCATACTAGGCAGAAGGGTATGATTTTGATTTCGTTCATTCTTCCGCATATACTTTCTAGGATACCCCTTCTTTTCTTTGGCCTCTTGGCCCATCTCTACCACCAATACCCATTTACCGTACATAGGCACATTGGACTCTCGCATGCGTTTCCCTTTTTCAACTATGCACATATTCAGCCATCTTCCTTCCAAACCGCCCAAAGAACGCTAACAAAATCATCCTACGACCATCCCCATCCACCACGGAAGATACTTGAAGACAAGTCCGGCTCGGAAACCGATCGTTGACCTCTGCCGTTTGTCCTGAAGCACAATATCGAAATTAAAACGAAAGGAGCTTATCTGAGATTTGTGGCTGGTGCTCGATGGATTGGTGTAAAATTTTGCTTGCGAGTCCATCTTGCGACACACTCAAGATGGACCTATTCGCAAGACGCCTTTTGGTCTTGTGGCTAACGCTCGACGGGTTGGTGCGCAGATCTGGTTTACGCGTCCATCGTGCGACTATCCAGGAAGCTTGGACTTATCGATAAGATTGATTGAAACGTCTTTAGGTGGACAGTCGGCATGAAGTCCGTTTTACAAGCTCTCAAGGCTGTCTGCCCCATACATCGACATTGAAAGGGATTCTAGCAAAAAAGATCAAGGAGGTACATCAAATTTGACGGCGCACACTACGATTGGCGTGAACGTGTTGACAGAACTAGCTCGTGGCGTCGGTTGGCTGATGGTCCGTGTGAGGTCTGTCTTGAAGGCCGTCTATCCTTTCGGGTCAACATCGAAAGGGAATGTACAGCATAATCAAGGTCACGAACATCAGAAGCGCCACGATTGACCGGTGTGTCCATCGTGATGGAAATTTGCCACCAATATCAATATTGCATGTTTGTAGACTGGCGATAAACACAATGATTGATCTGTTGGAACTCGGTTGGAACTCGGCTCGATTTTGAGTGGAAGGGTGCACGAACAGGGAACCTGACTTAAAAAGAAAGAAAGATGAGGTAGGTAGTAAGTATGTGAAAAACCAAAAACGGGCAGGGAAGGCGGAGATGAGACGCGAAGTCGGCCTTGTGGCGTACTTGTCAACTGAGTCCACGGCTCCAGTAGCGCGAAGCAACCAGATAAAAAATAAACACCCTTAAAACTTTTGTTAAAAGACGACAAAGGAAATCACTGGGTAAACCTCACCTAAATGTTTCAAGATGTGAACAACTAGGGGAAGGAGAAATGGTCAGAAAACACTGATGGGAACAAGCCTCGCCTATCTTCATCTCAAACAATCAAACCGCCATCGGAACTGCATGGATTCCACCACAAACCACAAGGAGCAACAACTACTTCTTAGCACCCGAACCCCCTTTCGAATTTCCCTTCCCTTTCCCCTTCCCGAACGCCTTGCCCTCAAATCCAGGCCGAGCTTTCCCGCCTTTCTTACTGCCCGCACCCCCACCTTTCCTCCGTTCGTTCCGCATTGCGATGTTATCGTTGCGCTTTTTCTGTCGAGCGGCCATCGCGTTGGTGACTTGCTCCTTCTTCTCCTCCCTGTTTCATCATAATCATCATTAGCATTTTTGTAATCCAAAAAGAAAAAACAGAAAAAGCGATGAAAAAAATAAGATGAATATAAGAAAACACCCACCAAACTTTCCTCCCCTTCTCCTTCTCCTTCTCTTTCCTCTTCGCCGCCTTCTTCAGCCTCGATTCGTCGTCGTGCACCTTCACACCTTCCATCCGAGCTTCGGCTTTACTCCACTTTTCTTTCTCCTCAATTTCTTTTCTCTTCTCTGCTGGCAAGGCAGCGAGTTTAGATTTTCGTGCTGAGAGTTGGGCTAGGGCTTGAGTTGGATCAGCAGTCGTTTTGAATTTTGTAGACTTTGAGGTATGCGAGAGGGATGAGAATGCAATGGTCGTAAGGTTATTTTGTGGGCCGCTAGTAGTATTTTCTGAGGGTCGATCTGGAACTAAGAGTTGGGTCTAATAGAAGATAAAGACAATAATCAGCATCGACAGTCCCACATAACCTGCACGGTTCAGTACCTTTGTGACGTTCCCCTTATCCCTCCCTTCGACCTTCCCGCCTGCTCCGCCTCCAGCCTTCTTTCCTTTCATCTCTTCCTCCCTTCGAATCTTCTCCTTTGTCTCCTTCCGCCTCTTCTCACGCATAGCGGCTCTTTGCCGCCGCCTTTCTTCGAGCAACTCATCCCGGTCCCCTGCTTCGCCTGGATTCCGAGGGCCACCGCGCCGGAGTTGGGCCATGCGTGCGTGTAACTTGTCCCTTAGGGTTGAAATGCCCTCTGTGGGTGGCATGGGGACCAAACTATCTGCTTCCAAAGTTTCGTCCTCGTCTAAAGCCATGTCAACCTCGAGATCGACGTCCATGGCTGCGTCTGAATGTTGCTCGTCGCCTTCAGATGCAGATTCTTCATCATCAGAGGCAGTAGCAGGAGCTTTCCGCTTCCCCTTTTGTTGTTTTTTCGCGGAGGCCGCTTCATTCTGGATATCAACTATGGATTTATGGTTCGCTGGATCGAGCTTCGCAAGTGTCAGATTTTTCGCAATTCAGATAATCTCTAGATAAACCTTGTTTCTTTTTGCCTTCTTCGTCGCCTCTTTGATAGCCTGCTTGGGCGCGTTCTGTTTTTTACTGTGTTTTTGGTACTTTGACGCTGCTTGTTCCTCTGTTTCGTCGTTCACAATGTAGTATTGTGCTGGAATTAGACGAAGCAGAGACTCGAAGGCGTCGTTGTGTCTTTCCAACGAGGCGCGTAGTACCGCCGCTGGAGTCGGCATTGAATATTGAATAATCGAGGAGAGAGGAGGGAAGTTAGGGTTAGGGTCATAAACTAGCTTTGTCAAATTTCAAAGGGTTCAAACGTTCAAGAACGTTCAAGCTTCAAGGTTCCAAAGCGGACAAGAAAGAAGGGTGTATTCAGGATATAGTGGCAACACATCTATTAAGGAGAGAGACCCTATTCTCTCATCCGTGCGTATTAAGTGTGAACTCCGATAAAGAGAGCAAAAGCAACAAAGGATGTGGACCAATCGCTAGCGCTAAACGCAACAGCAGAATATCCACAGTCCAACGTTCTTAAGCACTCGAAGGGGCGTAAAGGAGCGGGTTTCGAGGTAAACCCCCCCTCACTGCATCACTAACGGAAGGCATCGGGGTTTTGTTTGTGGTATTTGAAATGTAGATAATCGATAGCACTCTTAGCTGCGCCTTCAGATGCATATTGCTGATTCATACCCCCGCCGGTGCCAATATGTACGCCGTCCACTGTGCAAAGGAGGTAAATCGTAAACGACGAGGAAGGATGTAAGTTGACTGCAACATACGGTGGACAGTACACTGCCAGGGGGGATTATGACCTTGTCCTGGTTGACTGTACTTGTATTCAAGTAGAACGTTATGAAAGAGCCGCTGGTGGATGGAGTTTAGGTGATTCTTGTTGTCTGCGATAAAGTCAGAAAGCGCTGATCCAATGCGTCGACCTGTACTTACGTTCCGGATCTATGTTTGCTACGACTTCTGCGTGTGCGGACATTTCTGAGTCTCACTCATGGCGACTTCGATATTTAAAGGGCCTGTGGCGCGAATACCGAGCCTTGAATTCAGAGCAATACAGCAATCACTACACCATCAGCTTCCCGCAACGGCTCGATTGGAACGCGGGTCTGGGCGGCGCAGTAGGGACAACAAATGTCCTGAAACGCAACCGTAATCGGGAGGTATGATGAATCACCAGAAGCCGTAGACTGACGGTGAACCTGAACAACCCTTCAGTTCCGCCTCAGCTCCTGCAGTTCAACAATGGGTGTAAAATTCATTTGGAAACAAAAAAACTGAACCTGGCTATGACCCCTTGTTTTCGGAGCGTAATCACAGAATAAAACGCATTAGGCAGCTAAGAGGATGCGTATTGGCCATCATTCGCCTCCGTAACAGCACTTTTCGCAGTATATTCGCCACCAAGGCGGTGAAGCTCAAAGACAGATGCGCGTACGACTTTTTGGCACTTTGCTGTGAGCTGGCGGCCGACATAGTTGTGCAGCGCACGGCCCGACAATGGTCCAAGGTCCAGGTGGACCGTGTTGCTTGGACCTACAAGTAGTGTTAGTAGATTAAGATCGCACCGCATTCGGAAAGAAATAGGTTACCTTGAGAAATAAAGCAGCGCGCAATCGCCGACCCGCCTCCAGGTCCCTGGCAACACGTCAATTTCTCTCGTTACACAACGCCACATATTCCTGAGGTGGCAGATGCCGGTGGGCTACACGGGAAAAAGGATGGGCTGACGCCTCTAGGTAAGCGAGGATCTGTCGGATAGCAGCCCTTTGTTGTCGGAGGCGGCGTTCAGTGAACCATGCTTTGTTGTGCATATTGAATGTGGTGTGGAGGTACACAAGTGATAAAAGGCGATATCACTCATTCCCTGTCGCATGCTCTGCGAACAGTACAAGGATGAGGGGTAGCCAAGAGGTTTCTGTATCCGATAATTAGTTTTGATTTGCCATTGTACCCCATCAGTACTTCAAGCTGCATGAATCATACAAACTGGAGACTAATTCGCAACAAAGGCGTGTCTTTGTTAAAACATTGTTTATTCGTGTTGATGTAGTGAAAAGAAAGGCGCCTTTATGAGTCTTCATCGACATCGGCGCTTGGAGGAATGGTGTGTTGTTCAGTTCAAAGAGCGTCATGGGAACCACGTATCATCTCTCCGAGTGCCCCGTCGAAGTCGAAGCTGATGTCGGGGAGGAATCAACTGGCATGACCGCATTTGAATATTGCTCATCGCCCTCAGATGCGGAGTCTTTGTCAAAGGGACAGACAAACTTTCCAGTTCTTTTCGTGGACGCCGCTGAGTTCCGGATGGTTCACTGGACAAGCTTTCGCGAGCGTCAGGCGCATCACAGACAAACAGGCCATTCAGACGAACCTTCTTTCCGCTTTCTTTGTTGCCGCCTTGCACAATTGATTCAAGTTGTGGTGTTCGTGACGACCCTTGCCCCTCGAGCCCGTCATTCAAGATGCGATATTGTTCTGAAAATAGACAGGGTAGCGGGGAACCGAAGGTGTCGATGTGTTTTCCCACCGAGACGCGTAAAACCGCGGCTGGGTCGACATTAGGGCTATTGATTGATAGGGAAGGGGGAATTGATGGCGGTAACTCTGCAAGTTCGAAGGATGAACTGGCGGTTATCAATGGGGTACCGTACGGTTTATAGCTTTGTGCTGGGATATGAGTGTGTGGTCACGATTGTCATCACGGATGAATATACTTTAATCTGGATGTGGATTTATGGTTCGCTGGGCCAAGCTTCGCAAGTGTCAGATTTTCGCAATTTAGATAATCTCTAGACAGACCTTGTTTCCGTTTGCGTTCTTCGTCGCCTTTTTGATAGCCTTCTTGGGCGCGCTCCGTTTCTCACTTTGTTTTTTGGTACTTCGACGCAGCTTGTTCCTCTGTCTCGTCGTTCACGATGTAGTGTTGTGCTGGAATTAAACGAAGCAGAGACTCGAAGGCGTCATCGTTTCCAACGAAACGCGTGCGACCGCTGCTGGAGTCGGCATTGAATATTGAATAATCGAGGAGAGTGAAAGGAAGGTGTTAGGGTTAGGGTCATAAACTACTTGAAGAACGTTTGCTTTGATTTTTTGCTCAAGCTTCGAAATTGCTTGCGAGCGGACAAGAAAGGGTATATTTAGGATGGAAACAAGGTTATATCGAGTCTGAGGAGAGAGAGCCTCTACTCTCTCTCTCTCATCCGTAAATCTGAACTAAAGAGAGCAAAAGCAACGAAGGATATGGACCAATCGCTAGCGCTGTAGGTGCGGCAGCAGAATATCCACAGTCAAACGTTCTTAAGCATCCGAAGGGGCATAAAAGAGTGGGTTTAGAGGTGAGCCCACCCAGCGCCCCTTCACTGCATCACTACCGGAAGGCCTCGGGGTATTGGCCACGCAAATAGATAGCAGCACTCTCCGCTGCGCCTTCAGATGCATGTTGCTTATTGATACCTTCCCCGGTGCCAATATGTACACTGTCCACTGTGCAAAGGAGGTAAATCACAAACGATCAGGAAGGAAGTAAGTTGACTGCAACATACAATATATAGCACACTGCCAGCAGGTGGGATCCTGATCGTACTTGTATTCAAGTGGTGGAACGTCAAGAAAGAGGTGCTGAAGTATGGTGTTGAGGTAATTCTTATCTGCGACAAAGTCAGGAAAGTGCTAGCACTAATGCCTGGAGCTGCACTTACGATGCGTCGTTGCCATGATTTTTTGAGTGAGGCTCATGGCGACTCTTGATGCTTATAAGCACGACCTGTGGCGCCAAACCAAGCCCTGAATTCAGAGCAATAAAGCAATCACCACACCCTCAGCGACTCCGAAAAAAATCGAGCACGGTACTGGGGGAGGAACAACAGTAGAGACTTAATCAATGCACTGAAACGCGACTGTACAATGAATCACCAGAAGGTGTAGAGTGACGGCGAACTCAGCTCTGTAACAGCACTTTTCATATTCGCCATCAGGGCGGTGAAACTTGGAGACGAGTTGTACTGATGCGCATAGATTTTTTTGCACTACGCTGTGAGCTGACGGCTGACACAACACCTGTAATTTAGTAGGTCAAAAGTGGGAGTGAAAACGAAGACTGATGCGCACGCCATCGTACCTGGATCTTGTCTACGTCCACATATTTGTGCAGTGCACGGTCCAAAGTGCAGGTGAAACCGTGTTGCCTGTATAGGTAGATCAAGATTGCACCCTATTTGAAAAGAATTAGGTTACCTCCAAGCAGCACGTAATCGCCGATCCTCCTCCAGGCACCTGGCAACGCGTAGATTTCTTTCGTCGCCCATATTCCGGAGGTGGCAGATGCCGGTGAGTCAGACGGGAAGAAGGATGGGCTGACGCCCCCAGGTAAGAGGATCTGTCGGGCAGCAGCCCTTTGTTGTCGGAGGCGGCGTTCAGTGGTCCATGCATTGGTGTGCATATTGACTGCGGTGACTCACTGACTCACAGCACAGGTGCACAAGCAATAAAAGGCGATATCATCCATTCCCTGTTGCCGGCTCTGCGGAGCGAACAGCGCAAGGATGAGGGGGAACGAGAAGGTTTCTGTATCAACATTGGCTTCGGGCGCTTAGGATTGGTGTGTTGTTCGGTTTGAGTAGTGTCGTGGGAACCACATATCATCTTCCCGAGTCCCCGTTTGAGTCAAAGTCGATGTCGGGTCGAATCAATGTCATGACCGCATTTGAATATTCCGTTGCGGAGTCTTTGTCGAAGAGACAGAAATTTCCAGTTCCGTTTTCGGTGTGTCGTGAATCGTGGACGCCGCTTAGTTCTGGATGGCAGCGAAGAAGGGATGGTTTACCGGGACAAGCTTTCGCGAGTGTCAGGCTTCTCGCAAATGAACAGACCATTCAGACGAACTTTCTTTCTGTCTGCTACAAGGACAAGGGGAAGCTGGATGCTTCTGGCTTCTTTAAACACCCTGAGCCTTGACCGATTTAATCTGTAACTGTCTTCAACAGGAGTCGGTGCAGTGGACGTCAAACAGATTCCAAATTGTCTGCGTCCATAGTTTCGTCCTCTTCTAAAACCATATGGGCTTCGAGGTCAGCGTTCAAGGCAACGTCTGAATGTTGCTCGTCGCCTTCTGATGCAGATTCTTCATCAGAGCTTTCCGCTTCCCCTTCTGTTGTTTTCTCGCGGAGACCGCTTCACTCTGGATGTCGACTATGGATTTATAGTTCGCTGGGTCAAGCTTCGCAAGTGTCAGATTTTTCGCAATTTAGATAATCTCCAGACAAACCTTGCCTCTTTTTGCCTTCTTCGTTGCCTCTTGCTTGGGCGCGTTTTGTTTCCTGTAGTGTTTTTGGTACTTTGACGGAACTCGCCCCTCTGTCTCGTCATTCACGATGTATTATTGTGCAGGGATCAAACGAAGGAGAAACTCGAAGGCATCGTTGTGTCCTTCCAATGAGGCGCGTAGAACCGCTGCTGGAGTTGGCTATGATATCGGGAGGGAAAGAAAGGAGCGTTAGGGTCAAGTTAGGGTTAGGGTCGTAATAAACTTTCAGCGTGAGGCGAGAGTTAAAGCTTGTTCAAAAGGTTCAAAGTTGTTTGGGAGCGGACAAGAAAAGATATGTTTGGGATATATTGGCAGAAAGGCTACATCTAGTTTGAGGAGAGAGAGCCTTTATTCTCTCATCCGTGCGTCCCTTGGGAGTCGTCCACACAGATAAAGAGAGCAAAAGTAACGAAGATTATGGACCATCACTGTAGGCGCAGCAGCTGAATGTCCACAATCAAACGTTCTTAAGCACCCGAAGGGGCATAAAGGAGTGGATATCGAGGTGAACCCACCCAGCGCCCCTTCACCGCATCACTAGCGAAAGGCACGGGGATACTGTTCAGAGTATTGGCGACGTAGATATTCAACAGCGCTCTCCGCTGCGCCTTCAGATGCATGTTGCTTAGTGATACCCCCCCCGGTGCCAATATGTACACCGTCCACTGTGCAAAGGAGGTAAATCACAAACGATCAGGAAAGAAAGAAGACTACTGCAACATACGATAGAAATCACATTGCCAAATTGGACCTTGACGGGTTTGAGACTGTTCGTAAGTGGATTCAAGTAGAATGTCGGGAAAGAGGCATTGCAGGATGGCGTTCAGCCGGTTCTTGTGGTCTGCGACAAAGTCAGAAAGGTGCTGACACTGATGCTTGGAGCTGTACTTACGCTCCACGAATTCCATGATTTTTTGAGTGGGTAAGTCTTGCTGAGTCCCATGGTGACTCTCGATTCTTATAAACATGGCCTGTGGCGCGAGTACCGAGCTCTGAGTTCCAATCAGTACAACAGTCGCGACATCATCAGCTTTCTGCGTGGGTGGAACGGTAGGGACAACAAATGCGTTGAAACGCGACGGCATCGGGAGATATGATGTATCACCAGAAGCCGTAGAGTGTCGGTGATCCTGAACGAACCTTCGTTTCCGCCTCAGCTCCTGTAAACCACTGCAGTTCAATGATGGGGTAGAGTTTGTTGGCTCTGTAACAGCACCTTTCATAGTACATTCGCCATCAAGGTGAAATTTGAAACAAGTTGTACGATGCGCGTACAATTTTCTTGGCCTTGGCACTACGCTGCGACGCTGTGAGCCGACGGCCGACATAGTTGTGCAGCGCACGGCCCTACAACGGTCCAAGATCCAGGTGGACCGGACCTAGAAAGAGTGTTAGTAGATTAAGATCGCAACATATTCGGAAAGAATTATGACGGTAGACCACACCCGAGGGCAGGTGGGCTGAAACCTCCGATGCGGCGGGAAAGAAAGGATCTGTCGCGCAGTAGCCCTTTTTTGTCGGAGGGGGCGCTCAGTCGACCCACTGGCATGCTTTTGTCCGCATATTGACGGCGGTGTTTTACAGCACTGGTGTGCAGGCAGCAATATCAATCATTCCCTGTTGTAGGCTCTGCAAAGCTGTCTTTCGAACCGTGCAAGAGCGAGGGGGATCAGAAGGTTTTCGTTCTTCCAATGATAATATAACTCTTGATTTTGTCACTAAACCCTGTCAGTACTTCAACGTCATGCAGAACGGATGCGTGAAACATACAAACTGGAAACTATTTCGCGACAAAAGGGTGTCTTTGTCAAAATATTGATTATCCTTCGTGATGTATCTCCGTATAATGAAAAGAAAGGCGTCTATGAGTCTTCATCGACATTGGCGCTTGCGCACTTGGAGGATTGCTGCGTTGTTCAGTTCAATTAATGTCAAGAGGAACACGCGTCATCTACCCAAGTCCCCTGTCCAATCCATAGCCGATGTCGGGGTCGAATATGGTTTTTGTCAAGGGGACAGACTCCGTGTTTGTTGTTTTGTCGTGGACGCCGCTTGGTTCTGGATCGGGTGCACTGGGACTTGAGAGTGTCGGGCTTCTCGCAGATAAACAGAACATTCAGACGAACCTCCTTTCTGCCTTCTTTGATGTTCGTTGCCTCCTTGCACGTTTTGATTTGAGTTGCGCTGTTCGTGATACTTTTTTGATGCGTCTTGCCCCTTGAGCCCGTCATCCAATTTGATATTGTTTTGAAAATAGACACGGCAGCAGAGAATCGAGGGGATCGTTGTGTTTCTCTAGCAAGGTCAATTAGAGCTGCGGTTGGGTCGTGGAGAGCCAAACGGCTCACGTGACCTTGACTTCACATCGAACCTGACCAAGTCATCCAGGCGCGTTATGACTTGCATGAACCGTTTTTCTCTTTCGCCACCGCTCACTCAGCACTCTTATGGAAGAAGATTTTTCTGCCTTAAATGTAGCCGATTTTTGCAGAAATTTGTTGGTGGAACCCTACCAGGTTCTTCCCTTCGACACAGTGGGAGTTGACGAGTTGCTAGAAGGCCAACCGAATGTATGCAGGAGGGCTCTGTATGACCCGTATGTCCGTGGTTCGTCCATGTCAACTATTTTTACAGGCTCACGTTGTCTAAACGTATGTCCAAGCGAACTATATGACTGGTTGGATTATGAAAGAGGCAAGAAAGGCGACCAGAACATGCTTCAAATACAAACGTTTGGATTTGAGTAGATTTCTTGCACTGCCGACTGATGTTCTCTTCGGGGTCAGCCCACTTCTTCTGCTTCTCGAATCCTCCTTACCTTTTGTCCAGATATTTGAGTCTTTACACCCTGTGGACCTCTATCACCTTATACAATCCTCTAAAACCTTCAGAAGTATAATTCTGAATCCAAGGTACAGAGGCGTGTGGATAAATGCCTTTCGCATACACAAGGAGTTGCCATCCTGCCCGAAGGGTATGTCTGAACCCCAATGGTCATCTCTGTTATTCGGTCCGGACACTTGTGATGTGAGTCGATTTGCTAGCCGAATTCAATAATCTCAATCAATACCCCTCAACAGATCTGTGGGAGTCATGGGGCTCTCCCCGACTTTGCCTTCCAGAAACGACTGTGTGAAGTCTGTTGGGTTGGTAATGACTGACTCCTAACTTTCAGTTTGTTAACCTATCTTTCAACTTCCAGGGAACCCATGTGGTGCACCGACGCGATATGGTCCACATCATATCAGAAAACCCCCAAAACGATCTTGCTGTTGTCTGGGAACTGGTTCCGAGGACATTTCGGCGAGGTAAGTGAGCGAGTATTCGTGGCATGAGAAAGCTGACTCTCTATAGGCAGCGCGAGCTATCTCCTTAGCGGCCTGGGTGGAACCGGCTATGTACGGTATTTGAAAAAGGACGTCGAGGCAATGGTTGACAGGGTAAAGGAATTCCTGGGCGACATTGCTGCGGAGGCACCAAATGCTGGCGAAAAATATCGAGTCTTCTTATCCGAGGTTACAGCCAAACTTGACGAGAACGAGGCTGTGCGTGTTTCTCATGGCCTTTGCGGCTTTCTCTCAATGTGTTGTAGAATGCTTCAGGAGCCAACAGATGGGCACAAACCATTTATAGTGATTTAACTTTTGAAAGGGAACGTTTGAAAGGGGAGATGGCTAAAAGGTAAGCATCTACTTCGTTGCAACTTTCCTGGTATGCTGAGATATCTAATCACAGGTGCATGACTCGACTTTCGAACATAGGACATGACCCACGTGATACAACTGCTGCTCAATACATTGCTCTTACAACGTTGTACAAATATAGCGTCACACGGCTCACACGGAAGGGTAAGCGTCTTATGCAGCGGAACTCTTTGGTTTCTAATGATTTATTCTTCAAGTGTACCGGAAGATAAAGCCCAACCTTGAAAGAGCAGTGAATATGAAAAGAAGGAAGAGACTGGTTCTGGAACGTAAAAAAGTGGTCGAGCTACGTTATACGGAGTATACCAAGACGTTGAAGCCAGAACAGTGGACATCCATCATGCCTCTGCCTGAAGTTTACAAACTCTTCGATGATTTCATTTCTTCGAAAGATGATGTTATTGGAGAGATTTCAAAGAAAGACGCATTGGCTCGTTTTCCTCGGCTCACTCTACAATTCATGGACTCCGAAGTAAACCGTCTGGCTTCCTTGCTGCCAAAAGGTACCGATCACTCCGTCGCTTCCATGGACTGTTACGCCCGCCTAAATTTGGCAACATCTGTTTTCGGATGCAGGATATGTCAGTTTGGCCATATCTCCGGCGTGGCACTTTGTGGATGGACGGATATTTGCTCGCACATGAACCAGAAATCTCGAGAACCTTTCTTTCCCCGTCTTCCTTTTCCCCATCTGAAACTCGACTTCAACTCGGTCGGTTATGCCACTTCAACCTCGCTCATACGCTCTTTGGGGCTCGACCCTGGGACAACGACGACAGAACAGCTTGACTTGATTGACGCCCGCTTTTTTTGTGGAACCTGCCCCATCTTGTCTATCCGAGGTGTCCGAGGACGAAAGGCATATACATGGACAGAATGTGTAGGTTTCTTGGCGATCGTTGTCGTCTTTCTAGTTTATTGAAAGTTGCATAGATTACGCATGCACGGAGACATGACGTCTCTTCTTGGCAGCTTCTCACGCCGGAAGCGACGCGATTCGTGAAAGAGCAAGAATCCCTTCACCCTTCCCCTGTGTCGCCGGCCTGGGGATGCAACCATTGCTCGGAACATTTTGAACAGAGTGTTTCGCTTCCGTCTGCAAAGGTTCATGTCAATGAAAGGTGAGTCATCGTCTGACCACTTTCTCCATCCTCTCAATTTACGCTTCATTTACCGTAGTCATGGCATTGAGAAGCCAGTCGTTGGCAAAGATGTCATCGCGTACAAGCACCGGTTCAACTTTGCACGGGGCTATAGTTCTCGCAAACCCTTTCACTATTCACTGGAACCCCCTTGCCAGCTCATGTGCAAAATGTGCCCGAGGCGACCTATTTACCAGCTATGGTCGATGGACTGCTTGATACCACATCTATGTCGGAAGTGAGTACCTAATTATTGTAATTTTGGAAACACTGGATGATGTATACCGTCAGGCACCACATAGCTGAGCCCCTTCAACACGATCACTGGGAAAAAGTTGAGATTGTCGCACAACATTGATATCCGTAACTACGTTTGCAAATTACGGGTCAGCCCGTGTTATGCCGGATGGTTTCATGTTTGATGGAGGAATCACGGAACGACAAAGGGAGGAGCGTGGTGGTGTCACGATCCTCCACATTGTGCGAACAGCCTGATATACTAGCGGTCCAGGATCTGGCGTAAAACGATTCAATCTACATGTGGTGTCATTATAATCGACTCGAGATATTATCAAGCGCGAAGACTCCGGCAGTACGGTCAGGTGGCGGATGAATCGGATGGGGTTGTCGAGAGAGCGGCAGCCTTCAGCTCTCAGGCAGTGAATTTTGAATTTTGACTTCAAATTTGATATCAACACCCAAGTTTGGCACAAATCGATTAGAATTTTAGACTATGTAGATGCAAATGTTTATTTTATCGATCGACATTGGTCATCGTTGGTTCCTGCTCACTGTTTCCAACGATGAGCTCAACTAAGTCTTTTATTTGTGGCCCAAATTTTGCGCACTCTTCAATGACTCATAGCTAGAACTCAAATCTAATGTTTATTCGATGGCCTAGGTTAGTAATTGAGGTCAAGATGCTTGGGGCCGACGACGCCTGGCCAAACGACGCCGAAAGTGTTTTGGCGACGTACGTGTATGCGCAGAAGTCTGGAGAATTCCGGAGTATCGAACCAAGATTTGGTTAGAAATAATTAGTTACCTTACTTACCTACTAGGGCCATAAACGACTCAAGCAATTGCTCACACAAACGGACGAACATGGACAATCGCTGGAAGGAAGAGAAGCAGCAGATAATCCACAGTCAAACGTTCTTAGCAAGCTCCCAAAGGGGACAGGATGGATTTTAACCTTTGCCTACTTACATCCCTCCGACACCCCCTCCCTTTACATTCACCTGCGAAAGGCCCAGGGGCACTGCTGACTGTATCGAGGATGTAGATGGTAAGCGACAGCACGATGGGCTGCACACTCCGCGGCGGATGCCCGACTAGACCCCTGCCCGATGCCAATCACCCTATGATACACTTTACAAGGGAGTGAGTGAGTTTAAAGATTGTCAACTTTACGAACAAATTGCCCACAATATATGGAACACTCCCAGGTGGTAACATGCTGGCTTCCAAAGCGACTGTAAGCATATTCAGCTTCGTAGCCTGGAAAAAGGCGTTGGATAACAGTAGCCAAGTAATTTCTGTTCGAGCCTGCAGGAAGGTGAGAAGATTTAAGTCACTGACAACAGCGGGTGCAAGATTTACTTACGGTCCATGAACGCTGGATTGTTGAGGTGCAAGATTTTGCTGAGTAGTGACTGTCCAGATTAGAAGATATATCGAGCCTTTGGAGCAGTGCAACAACTGCGACATAATGAGCATCCGGAATCCCATCTTTACTCAGAGCTTGGAATGGAACAGCCGGAATAACCAGAAATTTTTAACGCGGCTGTATTGGAAGGAAGATAAATCCCTCAAAAGCAGTAAAGGAGTCACGGCGAACCTGGGAGGAAACTCTTGATGCTGCCGTAGATCTTGTAAACCGAGTACAGATTAATAAATATAACAAGTGCCGGGTTTCAAGTTTCGAAGCAACAAACCAAATCTGGCCATAATCCCGCCGGTAATATAAGACGCATGAGGACGGTTAAAAAGATCCAGCTGCGCGTAGTGACACTTTTCGGGGTTGTTACAGCAGCTTGTAATTACTGTGGAGTTTGATACAACTTGGGCGGTGGCTTAGACAAGTTGAAGACAAGTTGTACTGATGCGAGTACAATTTTCCGGCCGACGTTGCTGATGGCGTGCGGTTTATGGTCCCAATACGTCCCAAGCGTGGTCTAAGTGGCTTGCACTGCTTGGACGTAGTAGAATTGAGTCATATGTTTTGAAATGCCTATTATGGACCCGAAGGTGGGTTAGCGCCTGGTTCGGTGCGGGAAAAAAGAAAGAAACTACTAACTGCATGGCAGCCAGGCAGCGACCAACGAAAGTGGTCAAGTTACGTTATACAGAGTATACCAAGCGTTGGTAATGGTGCTTAGATTGTGTCTTTGCGTGAGTATTTGACTGCAGTGCTCACAGCAGAGATATTGCAGGCGATACCGTTCATTCAAAGTTGAAGGCTCTGCAAAGTTGTCTTCCTACCCTGCAAAAACAAGGGGAACCCGAGAGGCTTCTGGTTGTCCAGCCTTGATCTATTCGATTGGTCATTAACTTCAACAGAAGGAGTTGGTACAGTGGACGTCAAACAGAAGTTGCCAACTTACGCGCATGAATCTTTACCTCCAAGAGATGATGTGACTTTCCCGATGGACGCTGAAAGTGCAATTGCCACGTGTGCTGATAGTCGTGGACAATCATCTCACGTCGGTCCTCGGAGTTACATAGTAAATTGAAGTAAAGCTGTGCCAGTGATGTCGGGATTGGCACCCTTAGTAATGCTGGGATCAGACGAGGGTTCAAATTCAAACTTCAAATCGAGGTTCGTTTGAGCGAAACAAAACGGGTATAAGTAATCGAGGTATAACGATAACAAGCCTATGTCTCGTGGGTATCATCAGCACAGGAGAGGTTCTATTTCTATCCTCTCATCCGTGGGTATCAAACGTCAACTGTCCAGCATTCCAGACTCTACCTCGGGCGTTCATACAGGAAAGGGAGAGAAGGCAACAGGGTACATAGACAACCGTTGTGGGCTACACAGCGGATATCCATGGCCTAATGTTCTCAAGTCCCATGGGAGGCCGTGAAGCGGTGGGTCTTTCATAAAACCCACCCAGCCACCCCTCGCTGTATCACAACCCTTCAAAGGCCCAGGAGTCACTTTCATAATAAGTTTGATATAGAAGCCGAAAAGCGCTATCCGCTGCGGCGCTCGCGGAATATTTCTTCGTCAACCCCCCACCTATGCCGATGGGGGGACGATCGTTCGCTGTAAGGGAGTAGAATCGTGAGTGGCCAGAACAGCGTATGTCTTTTTGCTTACAGGTGAATATTTTACATTGCCAGTTGGTCTCGTGTTGGGGTCCACTGCACTGGTAATCATATCGAGGGAAAGAGCCCCTAAAAAGGCGTTGGTAAAGGGTGTTCAGACGATCGACAGGATCTGAGAAGGCAGTCAGAAAACGCCAGTAATAACGCGCGTAAGCTGGATTTACCCATGTGTGCCAAGATGTTGGAGTGCGTGGGGATGGTGAGTCTATTCTCGGGGTGTTTATATAGTACTCAAGGGGTCGATCAGTCCCGAGGCGAATCTTATAGTCATGAAGGAGTGCACGTCACCGAGCTTTATAGCACTACAGCATCACAACATTATGAGGTTTTGTTCCTAACCCGAGGCTGGAGATGGTTCACCAAGCATTTTTGAAACCGGTTGTATTAGGATGGTTGACTGGGAAGCGTAAAGGGAGTCACGGTGCACCTGAGAAAAAAATTTCGATGCGCCGCAGCTCCTGTCAATCAATTCAACCATTAGAATGGAGGTTTCTTGAGATTACCGGACGGATTTCGGCCGTGATAGCACCACTTTGACGCGTAAACGAAAATGACGCCGCAAGAGGAAAGGAAACAAAAATCTATCAGCGAGACGCTTTTCGCGGCCGACAAAAGTCGGGACATGGTTGGAAGGCGGTGAGCTTGAAGGTAGTGTATAGTTGCGCCTACTTAATACGCCTTGTTACGCTGTACAAAAGTTGTTGGAGTGCGGTCCGGTCAGAGCTTGAAATAAGTTGTCGAGATGCGCTACTTACAGATTTTCCGCAGTTTTCCGCCTTTGGCCGCTGTGCAAAGTTGTGGATGTGCGGTCCGGTTAAATCCTAAGATCAAGTTAGAAGCGTGTACATGGGTTGTCGCTTCCGACACAGCAAGAAAGAGACAAACTGTCGTAAATGCAGCTCTTATCCGCTGCGACTAGCGCTATACGACCATGTCTGGACGTATCTTGCATGTTCACAGCAAAAGGATTACGGGAACAAAAGGCGATGCCATTTCGTCCCTGTCGAAAGAGGCTCTGCAGAATTGTCTTTCGAAAAGTGCGAGATTCATGGACAGGGGGGTAGGGGGCAGATTCAGAAGGTTTCCGCTGTTCATAATCACAGAGGCCTTGATCAATTGTCTGTCAGTTGAAGTCAATCGAAAAGCGTAGGAAAGAGTGCATTACCCGTCTTGCAAAGATGATTAGTTTCCAAGAAAGGGTGTCATCGTTATGGTTTTGCCGTTGTATACCGCCATATATATGGGGCAGGAAGGCTTCATTCTGAGGAGACCTCATCAAAATCGCCGTGTTGGAGGGAGTCGAGTTCTTATCGTGGTCCGTGGGAAGTATTTCCAAGTTTCTTGCCATGTTCTGTCACCTCGACCTTACTTCCTTACGATTTCTTGATGTTCTCCGTCGAGAGCGACGCCCGATACTACTGCTAAAAGCCATGGATAACGCAGAGGCCCCAGTCGACGAGATTCCGCCCTCTCCAGACACCGACGAAATACTACCTCCATTTCGGGATCCTAGACGCCTCTGATTCGCTCCGGGGAGACTTCACCAGATTCAGAAGGTCGTCGAGGACCCGGAGGTGACGACGCAGAAAAAGAAGAAACCCAAGAAGTCCGCGAAAGCGAAGGAGGCAGCGGCACCCGAAGCGAAGGTGCAAGAGGCTCCTGAGGACGCCGAGGACACGGAAATTCGACCGCCTGTCCATTGCATTAGCAGAAATAAGCACTGGCAATATATCAGCGTACCACGTCTGTACTATCGTTGCAGCATTATCTCCCTATTGGATACTGAAATACCTTTGAGGTCCTTGGCTCCAACCCCCTCTTATACTTCAACTTCATACAGAAAGGATGCGTGAATCATACAAACCGGAGACTATTGCGCGACAAAAGGGTGTCTTTGTCAAAACATTGATTATCCTTCGTGATGTAGTATCTCCGTGTAATGAAAAGAAAGGCGTAGTCATGAGTCTTCATTGACATTGGCGCTTGGAGAATTCCTGGATTGTTCGGTTCAAGCTGGGTTCAAGCAGCGTCATGAGAACCGTATATCACCTACCCCCGTCTAAGTCAAAGCAGATGTCGGAGTCTAATAGCTCTTTTGTCGAAGGACAGACCAAAGTTTGCTTCGTTCTGGATGGGGTTCAGTGGGACAAGCTTTCGCGAGCGTCCGGGGCGTCTCGCATATAAACAGAAGATTCAGACGAACCTTCTTTTCGCCTTCTTCATTGCCTTCTTGCACGTTTTGATTCAAGTTGGCGTGTTCGTTATACTTTTTTGACGTGTCTTGCCCGTCGAGCCAGTCATTGACGATGTGATATTGTTCTAGAGACAAACACGGTAGCAAGGAATCGAAGGCGTCGTTGTGTTTTTAGCGAGGTGCGGTTGACAATAGTAGAATCAGATTGAGGCCAGTAAACTTGTGGTTCGTGGTCGTGAAGATCTGAAGAAGAAGTTTTGCTGCTCAGGCTCGGAGTCGCTGTTTCCAACGATGAGCTCAACTAAATCTTCTATTTGTGCACTGGCCCTAATTTATCACACTGTAACATTTCCTGAATTCATTCAATGGTATGAGCTTGATAATTGACCCTCCAGTTTTGAGCCGACTCCGACGCCAAACGACGAGAATGTCTTGGTGACGTGCAGGCCTCCCAAGGTTTGGCTTACTAGGGTCATAAACTTCAATCCATGTAATTGCTCACACGGACGGACAAGCAAAACTTGAGGAAAACAGATCAGATTGAATATGCAACTTGGGTATAATGCTGTACATATAACGACGATCACCTGAATCTCGTAGATATCGGTATAGGGAGATAGGCTTTACCCCACCTTCCTATCCCTCAGCTGTCACTTGTCCGAGATACGCCGGTGTCCATAGATGATGAAGAGAGAAAAAGGAACGAGGTCCATGGAAAATCGTTGCAAGAGCAGCAGCAAAACATCCACAGTAGATCTTAAGCTCCCAAGGCCCGGGAAGGATGGGTTTGGCCTACACTCTCCCGACGCCCCCTTCCTTTATATTCACCTGCGAAAGGCCCGGGGTACTGTTGACTGTATAGGGGATGTAGATGGTAAGTGATAGTACGATGGGCTGCAGACTCCGCGGCCGATGCCCGACTGTTACATAGAAATCTGCAGGATGTCGGGAGGGTCGACGACGACGACTCGGAATAATGGCAGCGTCTGAATCAAACCCATTGTCCATAGATGTCATAATGTGCTGGGATTAGATGAAGTACACATATCGGGCTCCAAACTTCAAATCGAGGCTCATCTGGGAGAAACAGAACGGGTATAAGTAATTGAGGTATAATGATAACAAGCCTATGTCAAACGTCATTGAGTCAACTGTCCAACATCTCAAACTCTACACCAAGTGTCCATACAAGGAGGGGGGGAGAAAGCAACAGGGGACATAGACAATCGCTGTGGGCCACACACCGTATGGCGTATATCCATCCCCTAACGTTCCGAAGTCCCCAAGGAGGCCGTGAAGGAGAGGGTCTATAAGAAAGAAACCAGCCGTCCCTCCCTGTATCATGTAACATTCAAATTCTTCAGGACCCCGCTGCCGCTTCCGGTGTATTGGGCAGGCTTGAGCTGAGCAAGCTGAGCGATGGCACTCGAAGACGGGCGGTGTGTTTTTATCGGCAATTTGAGCAAGTCTTCCTCAGGCTGCTCGTCTTCAGCTCGAATGTCGCTAGAAGCTTCAGCTGTGTCGAGTAACGGTTTATTCGTATCGGGGTCCTCAGCGGGCACTGACGTGTTATATACAGCCGTTGCCATTCCACCGGCATTATCTTCATGTGTTGAGTCGGAACCGTGGACCACATCTTCGGAGCGTTGATGAGCCTCCCCATCTCCTGACAACCCTCGAGAGACGTAGGACTCACCTTCATAATAAGTTTTATATAGAAAACGAATAGCGCTATCCGCTGCGGCGTCCTTGGCAAGTTTCTTATTCTTGCCCCCGCCGACGCCAATTAAAACATCTTGTGCTGCAAGGGAGCAGAATTACAAATGGAAAGAGTAAAGTATGTCTTTTGCTTACAGTCGTATATGCTGCATTGCCAGTAGGGCTCGTGTTGGGGTCCACTCTCCTGGTACTCGTATCGAGGGACAGCGCCTCGAAAATGGCGCTGGTACGTGTTATTGAAAAGATGAACATGAGCTGAGAAGAGAGTTAGGAAACGCCAGTAACCACGAGCGTAAGCTGAATTTACCAGCCATGTGTGCCCAGGTGCTGGAATGGATGGGGATGGTGAGCCTTTATGATTCTCGAGGTGAGTTTATATGGCACTCGAGGGCTCGATAATAGTTATGTGGAAGGGAGTGCACGTACAACTTCTTGCAGTGCACTACTATAACATCACGGCATTACGAGGTTTCTGGCAAAGCGATCCTGACCAGGGGATGGAGCAGTATGAACAACAAGCGTTTTAAACGCGGTTGTATAGGGGTGAATAACAGGGAAGGGTTGGGTGGGCCACGGAGAAACTGAGAAAAACACTTCGATGCTGCGGCGGCAGCTCCTGTAAAAATCAATTCAACCATTGCAATGGAGGTTTCTTAGAAACAACGGACGGATGTCGGCCATGTTAACGCCACTTTGATGCGTAACCGAAAATAAAGGCCGCAAGAGGAAAGGAAAATCTATCCGCGCACTTGACGCTTTTCGCGGCCCGTATAAGTAGGTTCATAGTTGGAAGGCGGTGAGCTTGAAGGTAAGTTGTAGAAATGCGTCTAGTTACGCCTTGTTACGCTGTACAAAAGTTGTGGGACTGCGGTCCGGTTAGAGCTTGAAGATACGTTGTAGAGATGTGTCTACTTACAGATTTTCCGCCTTGTAACGCCGCACGAAGTTGTGGGTGTCTAGGTGGAACCTAAGATCGAGTTAGTGTATTAGTTGGCGCTTCCGACGCAGCAGAAAAGAGAGAAACTGTCGTAAATGCACTTTTTATCCGTTGCGACCAGCATTATACAGCCATATCTGTGCGTTTTTTGAACGCAGAGCTCACAGCAAAAGGAGTTATGGGGCGATGCCATTTCGTCCCTGTCGAAAGAGGCTCTGCAGAATTCTCTTTCGAAAAGTGCAAGATTCGTGGACAAGGGTGGTAGGGGGCAGATTCAGGAGGGTTTCGTTCTTGACAATCACAAAAGCCTTGATCAGTCGTCCTGTTAGTTGACGTTAATCAGTACTGTGTCGTAGCTGTCTTGCAAAGATGGTTATTTCCCAAAGAAAGGGTATCATCGTTATAGTATTGCCGTTGTTCACCACCATATAAATGGGCAGAAAGGCTTCATTCTGAGGAGACCTCAGAGTCGAGATCGCCGTGTTGGAGTGAATTGTTGAGTTCAATCGTGGGAAGTATTTTTAATTTTCTTGGCTTTCGACCTTACTTCCTCACAATTTCTTCGAGTTCTCTGTCGAGAGCGACGCCGAACAGTACTGCTGAAAGCCATGAACACCGCAACGGCCCCAGTGGACGAGATTCCATCTTCTCCAGACACCGACGAAACTACTACCCCCATTTCGGAACCCTGGACGCCTCTGATTCGCTCCGGAGAGACTTCACCTGATTCAGAAGTCGTCGAGGACCCGGTGGTGACGATGCAGAAAAAGAAAAAGAAGAAGAAACCCAAGAAATCCGCGAAAGCGAAGGAGGCAGCGGCGCTCAAAGCGAAGGCGCAAGAGGCTCAGGATGCCGAGGACGCGGAAAGTCGACCGCCTGTCCTCTGCATTAGCAGAAATAAGCATTGGCGGTATATCAGCTCTTACCACGTCGGTGCTATTGTTGTAGTATTATATCTCTATTGAATACTGAAATCTCTTTCAGGGTCCGTGGCTCCAACTCCCTCTCGAACTCCTAGAATCTTTGCTAGTCCTGAATATGGATCCAACGACGCTAACGGCTTCACCTTCCGAAGCCATGGCTACGCGTCCTCCTCCTCTCCTACCGCCACCGATGTCCGCTAAGTCTCGAAGCATGTACGGGCTAGGTGACTTCTCTCCGCCAGATTCCCCTAGGAGCCCATACCAACAGCAGTACCAACCGCCTCCATTCCCCCCACCTAATCCAGGAAAAGCTACACCCCCACCCATAGATCCTGGGGTCTTCCGCTCCGTGACTTCTATCCGCTCCCTTATTGATGAAGCAGCAGAGCTTTCTGTACGTGCTTCGTCTGGATTATCAGCTGCAGAACTGGGATCTATGAGAGGAGCATCAGGGCTCAATAATAGCCCCTGGGCTGCAGCTCAGTCACTTGGCTTCAATCCGCTTGGAAACAACAACAGTAACGGGAGGAATGTCGCAATGTCTGCAATGCGCATTCATAGGCTACGAGCCCTTGCCGTTCAAAAACTAGCTCAAGCATACAAGACTGACGAGGTTGCTTCGAGTGTAATGGTTATGCAAGGAGGGAGTGTATTCGATGACCTTGCAGAACGGATATTGAAAACTGGTGAATAAACATGCTTTGCCTTTGCCGCTTGATCATCACATACGCGCTCAACAGATCCTAACAACGCTGACGCTAAATATGTCCATTTCTTCCATGAGAAGATTCCTTCTCGACAACTTGCCGAGTCAACCACGCCCAAAGTTCTTGACGAGTTGATCGCGGCTCACCCTCAGCATCTCGAATATTATCGCACTCGCGGGATCGTTCATTGTTTCCGGGACGAGTATCCACAAGCAACCAAGGACTTTACCTATGCCTTGAAAGAAGCCAGAGCCGCACGCAAAGCCAAGATGATGCACAGAAGCAACAGTGAAGGTCATGGGGTTTCCAAGAATGGCAAGCGGCGGAAGGGCAGCAGAGCTGGCCACACGAATGGGCAAGCCCCTCCTGATGGTACCAGTTCGGTGGATGACTGTCAGGAAGGATCCGAGCTTTTGCTGCATCCTTCCGTTTTGGCTGATGCGCCTGATCCTATCGAGCCACAACTTCTCTTTCTCCGAGGTGCCGCTTATCTTCAACAAGCCATACACATGATCGAAGGTGCCATTCTCAAGCTAGAGAATATCCATAAAGCTCCTTCCGTCGACGGCGCGGAACTGAGACTCTGCTACATCGAGAATGGAAAATATGGTGGGGTGGAAATTGGCAACCCAGACGGCCCACTGGGATCAAAGGCCGCACCAAAGCTGACTGCGTATAGGGCCTGGTTGGGGGAGAAGGAGTTCAGGGAGCAAGTAACCCAGCTGCTGAAGAGGAGTCTACGCGATCATGAGAAGTTTCAAACTCATTTTGATTCCCTTGATTCTCCGAACGTTATACCCCCGGGGGATATCGCTTTCCAAACCGAATACGCCTTTCTTCTGTCAGAATCTATCCGACCAGGGAACCACGCTAACATACCCCCGCCTATCAATCCAGAGGTACCTGCCATGTTCACGACTTACCATCCGCTTCTTGTGGAATCTCACTTTAGCGTGTTGATCTGCATGCTGATGTTGGCTGACCTTACGAATATATTGCCCACTTTCATACGGACTGCGGCTCTTGTCGACGGATTAGAAGGGTATCCGGTATTTCTCCCACCAAGGTCAATGGGCCAAGCCGAGTTCATCGAGGTACTGGAGCGTCTTGCTGGTGGATGGCGGAATGGTGTTCAGCCCCATTCGTTGTCCAATCAACGAGGTAAGGGCCGGCTAGCGATTGACGCGCCGCCTGTGTCACCTTCTCGGCTGGTCAACGGCTCGGGCATGTTGTCCGCCTCGTCCTCTTCGTCTTCATTTGTCCTCCAGGGTGTCAATGGTTCGAGCAGCAGCTCAATGCTCAATGGCCAACTTCATTCTGATGCACCAAAAACTAATGGGCATACGGAGCATCACGAAGAGGATCAAGCTGCGGAACCATCACGCCCCGATGCAGCTGAGGCATTGGATTGTGCTCGGATTCTTTTGGCCCCAGTGTACAAGCGCCAGCGGGAGCGCGCGGAGAAGGCCGCCATGGAGAAGAATGTGGGTGGCAAGAAGAAACCTATCCCGATTAATATTCCCCTCCATGGACCACGAGTAGAGATTATTTTGGCCTGGTTGGGGGCTGTTCATTTGCCTGAGCTGGACGTTTGATTGAGGCGGTTGGAGGGCGCTTTGCTTGTTGCTTTAAGTACGAACATATTATCCATGCTTATGCTTCTTGGTTCCGGTTATCATTATATTTACATTCTACGTCTTGTGGTGCGGGTATTGCAATATCTTACAGGCATAGATGACGGGTGTCACATCCTGTCGGCTTTTGGATTTTGGTCGTAAGCATCCGCTCATCCTTGTTCGCTCTTTCTTTCTTTTTCGTGGCATCATCTCTAAGTGTTGTCCTTGCACATACTTTGAATGCACATGTCAGGTCAAACAACCAATATGTCATTGAACTGAAATTCTGATAATATTCGATATCTGTTGCACGAAACCCAACCACATTCAAAAATCTCCACAAGTCCGTCAAAAAAGATCAAAAAACTTATTGGGGTGAGGCATGGGGAACATTCCCGCCGTCGCCTGTTAAGGAGCTGCTGCTGTCGTACGTTAGATGGCTCCGGCGCAATGAATGCTCCAACTGACAATGACATTCTCGTAAATCAATGTTTTCCGGGTGTGATTTTAGAAGGAGGCCGTTCGTTAAGTTTCTTAGAGTACAAAAACCAGGGGTTCACCTGTGCTTCCTCAAATAATGGAATCCACAAAAAACTGGAGCTATGAGTGCACACACGTGAAGTGAGTCACGATCACTGTTGTGCCGGTCGCCAAGGCTCGAGGACCAAGATGTTGGCAGGATTCATGGCTCTTGTAGGAATCGTAAGAAAGCGATCCTCATGACCAGGTTGCACGATGCGGAGGGCAGTGCCTTGCTGCACAATGTAAGTCCCCCAAGTAGGGTCATACTTATCCTCCACACTGCCCTGATTTATGAGGTTCATATACCCGGGGAGGCCACCTGCGTCGTGGAGCACTTCTGCGTCAGATTGACGCCTGGACGTTGATGATGTCGACGCTTCGATGGACATAACGCGAAATGAAAGGCTGGTTGCACTTGGCATGGTGAACATTTCTATGCCCTCGGGCGTACGAATATGCTGGCCTTGATCATTCACAAAGTCGAAGGAGTAGTATTGGATGGATGCCAGGTCGCCACCCCAGACTCGGATCGAAAGGTTAGGTCCTAGTCGAGAGGAAATCACCTGTTCTCTAGGCTTGGGTTTGCCCTTCAAAGATACGTTGCAGCAAAACCAGCCTTTGAAAGATAGCTGATGTTACTCACACCAATAACGTTACGTTGCGCCCCGTCCGGATTCGCCTTCTTGTATGCCTCCATGGCAGCCGCGTCCTCCATGTTAAGCATCCACACAGCACGCTCGAGACTGCCATACGCTTCGACGGCCTTCTCTGCGACTTCATCCCAAGTCCATCCAAAACGTTTCATGCGATAGCGCACGAATGACTGTATCTGAGCGCTGCTAACCTTAAGAACTTCATTAGAACTCGTGTTCCGTGCAGGAGCGACGATTTCATGGCTCAATTTGCCCTTCACTGGAGCCGGGGTGGACGCGGCGGTGGCGCGACGCCTCTTTCTTCGAGTGTTGTCCGTTTTGCGCCCAATAGAGTGAACCTCGGTTGTGGATGCGGAAACGGTGCGATGGTTATTCTTGTGAGGGTCGCCTGCTCCAAAGGCAGGGCAAGCCTCGGTAAAGCTTGCAGCAAGGCTGTAGTGCAGACGGAGAGCGAGATACATATTATGTAAGTTGTCCAAAATAAATTACACCACCTCTGAAATCACTTTTTCTTGCTCAAAACCGTCACAATCGTTGTCCAGGCCCCGGTCAGGACGTTCTACTACCTTCTATCTACCATTTCTATTGGGTAGTATCCGCGCCGCTGCCAGCCAAGGCTACCCGAAGAGGAGATCTCACCTCGAGGCCGACCCAACGACTCCGGACTTTCCAGACCTCCTTCCCCTCGTGCCTCAGGACATGTTCTGGGTAATCGACAGCTGATCTAAATTCCTCGAGGAGCTAAGGGTCAACGTTTCAACATTCTACTCTTAGTCTTCTTGCTGAACCTTGACAATACATCTGGTTCAACAAAGTTTGCTTGTTACCTCTCTTGAGTCACTCTATAGAGTCCCCATGCTTCATGAACAACGGCGGGGAACGTGACTCATGTCTATGGATCGCGCCTGCGAGTTCCACCTGGTCTTTTCAGAACATAGAGCCGACGAATCGTATCCGTTTAATGTTTCCCTGAATTGAGGGGTTCGCGCAGCCTGTCTGTCACTGTCAGAAATCCCAATTTGTCGCTCGGAGATATTGCACTTTCCCAATCAATCCAGAGATGCCTGCCATGTTTACGACTTACCATCCGCTTTTTGTGGAATCTCACTCCAGCGTGTTGATCTGCATGCTGATGCTGGCTGATGTTTGCCACCTCTCTTGAGTCACTCTATAGAGTCCCCACGTTTCATGAACAACGGCGGGGAACGCGACTCATGTCTATGGATTGCGCCTGTGAGTTCCACTTGGTCTTTGCAGAACATAGAGCCGACGAATCGTATCCGGTTGATGTTCCCCTGAGTTGAGGGGTTCGCGCGGCCTGTGACTGTCAGAAATCCCAATTGGTCACTCGGAGAGATCGCACTCCGGCTTAGCCTTGTCTGTATCGAGTAGACGACGATATTCACCCCATTTTCTTGGAAATATAAAATCTGAACTCTTTCAGAAGGTTGGTACCATTGGCCCTCAAACTTCGAACATCTTCTCAAACATTCGTAACTATGACATTCACACCTGGCAAATACGCTCTCGAAGCCTTTTCCGCTACCGCACTTGGTGGCAAGTTAGCCACTGGGAATGGTATAGACGAGGTTGTTACCGTTGCCGATGAAGTACCTCCTTTTCGTGGTCAAATTGTCAGTAGCCCTGGCTTTCGTCTCTTCCGTATGGTACTTAACCACCAATGCTTTGCTGCCACCAGTGGGATATTAACGCTGTGGACGGCAAGGAAGGCGTATACACTATCGCTCTCGACACAAATGGGACTGCATCTGCAGGGAGTTGGTCCCTGAAGGAATCGTCTCCTGAGTCGCCTCCGGGCGGCCCAGTCATTCTTTTCTCGAAGGCCCACGAATGGTATATCTATTCATCTGACAACGGTTTTGCCGTCATCAAGTACGTGGTGTATCCATAAATATATTGGAAGATTCCTCACCATCAGTTTAGAATTCAGCCTGTCCGGACAGATCACTACGTTGGCTCGGACTTCTATGTTGGGACCAATGAAAATCAAGTAAGCGATCGACGACACTGCAGTGACGTCTTCTTTGACTGACTCTTTTAATTTCTCCAAGGTCGCTATTCAAGCAATTCCGGTCGTCCCTGGTGAGGAAGACAAAATACCCTGTTGGCAGGCTATTCAGAAGAAATGAGCGGACATTTTGATGGTGTTCAGATGTTATGCAATATTGCGGCGACAGAATGTATATAAAGTTCCAATACCGTGATATATCAAATTTCCAATTGTGTATTCTGTGGATTATGTTCCAGCTAGCCTCAGATCAATTTTATTCTTCCAATCTCGAGGTCGTACTAAGGAGCGTTTGGCCGAATGCACGGGGTCCGAGAAGTCGTTGTAAGTGGGCGATGCTTGGCAAGGTGTTGAGGATCAAACAACGCGACGTGCCCATGTGACTCGGAGCACAAGTCACAGCTCTCGTCCATCATTCATAAAATCTCCATTAATAATAATTATTAATGTTCTGCAAATGTGGCCTCGGGGTGTTCAAGTAATGTGAGTTCAGTTTATCTTCTATTCCAATACTCGCAATGGCGGAGCTCATCAGCACTTTTTTGCAAAACACAGTTGCACCTTCGTCGCCGTTGTCTTCACCTCCTGCGACTCAGACCAAACCCTCGCGATCTCAGGACGCACAACCAGATTGTCTGTCATCGCTCCTCTCGTCGCCAACCGCTAGTCAGGCTGTCCAAGCGCCTGTCGCTATATCCGTTACTCCCCAGACGAAACATCAGGACGCACACCCTGATATTTCGAGCCCATCATCCCCTACATCGCCAACAGCTGCCAGCCAGAGTTTCCAAGCCCCTCAAGCTACACCTGTTACTCCGCAGAGAGAACATGGCTCGGATCATAAGCCCTCAGTCGACGACACACCTATGGGTTGTAGTTCACATGGAACAGACGAAGGTTACGAGTTAGTCGAAAAACAAAGGCCCTTCATTGAGGCCGAATTGAAGCCTCATTTCTATGATGGTGGTCAACACTTTGCCGATAGCGTGTTTCGCGGCGAAGTCTCTCAAGATTTTATCACAAAGGTTCTCAGCGACGCCAACCTTTACTGTGAAAATCGATGGGTGGGAATTCCTGAAGCGGTCGACAAAGAGTCCGAATTGTACGCGCATTACAACGAAATTTTCGAAGGCGTGCTTAAGCACGGGAACTTGAAACGCACCCGCGACGTTCTCGCTAGCCATAGCGTCACAGCATTCCACGAAGAGGGTATAGACAATGCTGAGCTGAAGTCGTTGCCAGACTCCATGTTTCAAGGCCGCAATCCAGTAGCGTTCCTACCATCTGATGCAAACTTCGTCCCCGATGACTATGAGAAGAAATGGGCCTTCACCACGGCTAAGCACAGAGGACTTGACATATCGGGCTTTCTCGATGCGCCGAAACCCACGTCCCATGATAGGATATTCTCTCGCACCACATTTGAAGCCTACAAGGGTCCTATTGACAAGTTTGAGACACGGCTTCAGCTGCTATATGCCTTCCGTAATGCCATTGCTGGTTAGCTTGGAGTGTTTTTTACAGCTTCCTTCGCGCTAACATTCTCTCCTTCTTGTCTAGGTCATCAAAACTTGTGGAGGAAAGGTATTCTGCACCGCGATATTAGCATTAACAGTATACTTCTTGGCAAAGAGGATGCCGAACCTGGCTATCGCGGTCTTGCGATAGATCTGGACATGGCAATATGTATCAATCGTACCACTCCAGCTTCGCCGGGGCTGATTTCCGCACCGTTAGTTTCTCCAGACCTCATAACTTCCGCATTATCTGACGCAGTGGCTTAGGGAACTCGACTTTTTCAATCTGTTATGGTTTTGAGCAGCGGAGTCTACGGCGATTCGGCTCTTCCTCACGATTATTTGGATGATTTAGAATCTTTCTTCTACGTTCTTTTTTGGATCTGCTGCACTTTTTAAGCGACGGCACTGCCCGCTTTCCTGAAAAACTGGGACTCCCGGGACGCTCAAACCGCAGCAAACGCGAAGAAAGCTTTCTACTTTTTCCCGATCGATGACAATCCGGGCTGCAAGTTGCCCCCGTTCTTTGATGAAATATTCTTCACCCTTTGAAAGCCTTTATCAATTCTTTGAGAGGCAAGTCAAGAGCAAGATCTATTTGAGAAAGAAACCGCGAAACCCTTTGGAAGACCTGATGCCACAGTCAGAGGAGCATTACGCCGAGATTTTAAGATACATTGATACCGCCATCGCCGCGATAGAGGTCCTCCCAGGAGAGAAGACCAATCGTAGGCCATGTCCTTCCAAAGTTCCTAGGCGTAGCAAGCGAGTTTCAACGGGTCCAGCCGATGACTCTCCAGATTCCAAAAGAAAGAAAACTGGACTCCAGGAGGAGGCTGCAGCGGAAAACGAGAAGCCATTCGCCCCAACCATTCCTTCGAAGCTGACTGAAGACAAGAAGGCTCATCTCAAACCGCCTACTGTCATTCTAGGCCCCGGGAAGCGTCCTACAACGGAGCTACCTGACGACTATCCAAAGCACAAAAGAATGAAAACCAGACTCAGAGCCAGGAGGCCACTGAGGAAACAGTTTGCTGAAAAACCATTGCGGATGAAGTCTTTGAAGTAGAGCTACTGCTTTCGTTGTCACGTAGACCAAGTGGTTTTTAGGGTCATGTTGTTTGTACTACCATCAGCGTAATGGCGGAGGTAGAGGTAGAGATGTGTTGAGAAATTGAACACATGAGTTTCAACTCAACTCCGACGCGTCTTGTGAACTTTGAATCGTCCTTTCTTTCTGCATACCACTCACATCGTGCTTGTTGCTTGGGCGACCCCTTCCTCATCCATACGCGCCGGCGATATGATACGTTCCAGCCTCCGCTTGCTCTCCATGTTCATTCTCCCAAATCCCGTACGTCCATTCCAATTGTGCATTCAGAAGAATTTCTTCACTTTGCAGGTCATTTAGAAGTTCACTATTCCCCCTTCGATCACAGACCCACATTATCGCGTACGTAGGGCATCCGCAGACTATGGTTCGTCTATTCTAAGCTGTTTCTTGTAGTCTTCATCTGATTGCTTTAAACCATCTTAGACACCAGCTATATATTCGACACAGCGTTACCTGCTACTCCAACCCGCCAAAGAGCGCATAGCACCCCGAGAAGAACAGCGTTTCTTGAGAGAGAGGAGACGGCTGAGCGGAGAAGGAACACAGTCTGTTGTTGTTCATGCCACTGTCCGGAATCACCTCAACGATTGATATCTGTAAGCTGCTTGAAGTTTCTGCCGTTATGAAGCGGCTCACAACTTCTGCTTCGGAAAATCTAGGTTGCTCAGAGTGAATCAAGGCGTTCTTTCGCTTTTCTTCGACAGGATAATTCCGGCGTTACCGATGATAGCCCTCTTCCGTCAAGTCGCGCTAGTGGTGCGAGCATCAATAGGATTGTATGTCTTGAATTATTCATTCTTTGAACGACTTAATTGAAAGATGCTGTAGATTCAAAACTCCCCATCTTCATATCACGGGTCTTCCGGTGGACGACGTGATTGCTTTGTAGGTCACAGCTAGGCTATTTCTCAGTTCAGAAACTGATTTCTTTTGTGGTTAGAGGCCAAGTATTCCTCTTCATTCAGTAGTATGCGCAGAATCAACTTATGGTAAGTTTTGCGGCTAATTCTAAGTCTTCATAGCCACTTCGCGGGTCGCCGTCCGTAGGTGTTTGGTTTTTCACTCTGGCAGTCTCATGATCTTTCACCAAGAAGCTCAGCAAAGGAAGGGATCACATTTCGACCCAGCAGAGGAACGACAAGCTTGATGTAAGTTGACTTTTGCGATTCGCCTGATGTTTACTCACATATTCAATATTTGGCAATTGCTTCTAGAAACGACATTCTGCGCCGCCTACATCTCACCAAGCAATGAACGGGAATCGCGCTGTAGGAGTTCAAGCTCGATGACCCATCTGCGGTCGAACTCACCATCCACGTCATATAGACCTTCCCAGCAGTGGACTTCTCGGACTTTACAAGAGGCCTTCAGTCGCCCCCACAATCTTCACCTCGAGGTAACTGCAAAGTCAGTCCGATTTTGATCTGTGTCCCACCTCAATTCCTGAATTGACGCATCACAGGACCAAAGACCGAAGACATTATATCCACAATCCCAGTCACATAACGCCAGAATCTTCGAGTTGGATTTGTCACCAATTTTTGAAGATGCTCACGTCTTTGGAAATTCGATCCCTGTTCTTCCGATCTCTGTCTCGGCCCCAATACCTTCAAGGTATTCGCAGGCGCTGTATCAAACCCCCCCATCCCAAGAAGGGCCTACAGATGTCCAATCATCCACGTCCATATTGGACAGCTCCGATTCAAGTTACGGAGTCATCCTTGAGCAAAAGGTGCGTTGTCGTTCATCAAATGGTGTCATGTTACCCTTTTTCGTCATATGCCTGCATGAATCATGAACTTCGACCCTTGTTTCAGAGGAGATGGATGTGCATACAATCACTCAACTGACCTTATTATAGTCGTACGACTACGGAATGGCCCCAACAGACTCTCAAGGTCTCTTAGGATTTCGAAACGTCAATCAAAGCCCTGATGTTGTTTGCGCAGGAATCAACGTTGGTGGTACGATCTTACTTGCCTCCAGTGTTACTACAGGTGAAGCAGCAGTATTCAACAGGTGTTCAAGCGAAGGCGCCTTCAATTCCAGCTTTGGTCTTGACATTTCCAACCCCAGAACTGTCTAAATCAGGTGCCTTTATCGATGTACAGCATGATAGTCATTGTGGCGGCACGGCAACTCCGATGATAAAACCCCACATAGTGGAACCTTCCGTCTCTGATCCCTTTCCGGGTGGATTTGAGGCTCACGTCGACGAACATGGTGTCATTGTTTCCGATAATGTGCGTGTGATCGGCGTTTCCACAGGTAACGATGATGTAGCAAGACGTTTGAAATTTCGCCTTCGAAACTGGTCTGCGCGATTGTCGAAGAGAAGGACATTCCGCTCTGGTACTGGTGTCTTGGCTAGGCTGTCGCGGCGACTATTTGGAATGCAACCAAAGTTACTCTACAAGCGCTGCTCCGCTCAATCCGATTTTGCCGAGACTGGTCACAGTGCAAGCATGGGACTCCCGCAACGAAACGGAATGGATATCTCGAGCCGTGATCCGGATGCTTCCTGCTCTTCTGTGAAAGTGGACGACGAGAAACGCTCTTCTGGGTCATCAAAGTCAACACGTGCTTCTCGTCATGCCATCGATTTGGATGAAAGACATGCAGGATTCGATTCTGCGCAGAAAAACCGCTTATTAAAACCTGGACTTTCTCGCCTGGCTATGTCGATGGGAAGTCCTTTGAAGGCTTGGATCGAAAGATTGCGCGGCTGAGCCTCAATGATTTGATCCTTTAGAGCTGGACGAAGGCATGCAAATGTTCTGGCAGCTTCACGACCCTCTCCGACGACGATCCGACTTGTTCCCTTACATAATGCCCTTCGCTCATGAAATCCGTTTCTCGACCACCTTCACTGTTTGTTTTCTCCTTTTCCTTTCCGACTTCTCTTTTTTGGCCTTGGGTTTCCTTGGGTAAAACAAGAGGGAACAGAGTAGTGGTACCTCAGGGTCATGTAAATTTTCGTGTCTGTCAAGTTCCTCACGCAAAACTCTTTGCACACACATAATACCATAGCCTTTCTTTGAATCAAATTACTTAGAATGCGTCGAGTCAAGCATGTTCGGTAGGCTAATGGTGAACGGAGACCGGGAGACGGCCGGAGTATTACCGAATTGGCTGAGTGATCGGAAGTAGAAGGAGGAATGCACAAAACCGTGAAGATGGTACCGTAGTTTCGTCTGAGGCGCGTCCGTTGTCCTGGTTCGTTCATCCTTTCCTCTGGTTTCCTATTTCATGCGTACAAGTTTCTCTTGCTGACCTCAACCCCCCCACCATGACAGGAGCAACCCCTTCCGCCAGCACCTCGCTGCCATCGGTGCCGTCCTTTTCCTCGCGCTTCAAGTTGGTAGCTTCGCAGGTCTTACACCATGCAAAGAAGCATACCGGCGTCGGCATGATTTGCGCCGTGGCATACTTTGACCCGTGAGTCATACACATCTTTATGTACTCAGCGGGCAAGAATCCGAGGTTGAATTTCAACTTGTAGGGGAAATTGGGGCGTCGACTTGCAAGCTGGATCACAGTTTGGATATCGATTACTTTTCATAGTACTCCTTTCTGGTCTTTTCGCGGTGTACCTCCAGGTAAACAGGCTAATGTCTTAAAAGGTCGTTGATTCTGATCCCCCTTTTTTTCCCCTTCTGCAGGTTCTTGCCACCAGGCTGGGCTGTGTAACTGGCCTCGGTGAGTTGCTTCCCTTTTCTTCCCACACTTGCCGCGATTATCAGGATATCGTGACGAGCGCTATAAATGTTACTCCGCTCCACTAATTTCTAGAGGCTAACGTATTTCATTTAGACCTTGCTTCTCACACCCGTTTGTTATTATACAATCGGCCGAAGCATACGCTGCTGTACCGATGGTTAGGGTTATACCCTCTCTACGCGTTAGCAGAGATAGCCATCATCGCTACGGACCTTGCTGAGGTCTTGGGGTCAGCCATAGCTTTGTCTTTGCTGTTCCCCAAGCTGGAGCTATGGCATGGTGTGTTGATTACGGGGTTTGATGTCATCTTGATTCTTGGCATGCGTGATCCTTTACGCGGTCGTCCCGTGAAAGTGTTCGAAATTTTTATAGCGGTTATGGTAAGTCAGCTTCGTTTACTCTGACAAAAAACACTATGCTGACTGCCCAATAATGTAGGTACTTGCGGTCCTAATATGCATGGTTGTGATCATCTCGAAAATCAATGTAAACTGGGCAGATGCCTTCCAAGGCTATCTCCCTTCAAAATATATCTTCAAGTCAGGTGGCCTCTACACCTGTACGTCTCTTTTTTCTTGGATTGATTTCAACGAGCTCATTGACGCGCTCAGCTGTTGGTATTCTCGGTGCCACTGTTATGCCACACAGCTTGTTCCTAGGTTCTGCCCTCGCAACGCAGGACAGGATCGAATTCAAACCCACGAATGAATTGATACTTACTCCAAACCAAAGTAAAGAATCACAAGATACGGCGGTCGTCCACTCGCTCACAGCCCGCTCCCGTGTATCTTCGTTGTTCAACGCAGTTAGGGAGTCCGTGGCGAATGCGTTCCGCAAGCCAGGACCCAGCAGCCACACGACAAGGGCGTTGGGTCACTCGGATCATCAAAATAACTCTTTTGAGTTTATCCACGCTCATTTGTGGCACGGCGTCGTTGATATGGTTGTCAGCTTACTCGGGTTTGCGGTCATCATAAACTCTCTGTATGTGAAACCTATCGTAGTGGATTTTCGCCAACTGATCCAGCGTAGGATCCTCATCTTGGCAGCTGCTGTCTTCTATCGAGGAAATTCAAGTTATCAGGGACCTGCGAGTCTATTTGATGCTTACGACCTCATACGAGAGATAGTCGGAAAACGTTTGTGATCTTGACATTCGTTATTTTCCATCGTTTTGATCAGTCACAACAGCGGCCGCAACCTTGTTCGCGATTGCTTTGCTGGCGTCTGGACAGGCGAGCATGCCATTTTTATTTTCTACTTCCTCGAAACTAATACCTGAGAATAGAGCTCATCCATAATCGCGACGGTTGCTGGTCAAGCAGTCGCTGAAGGATTTCTTCAATGGCGTGTTTCGGTACGTTTCCATCTTACATCTTTCACCTTTTGAAGCTTAAACTCCTCGTCATCCAGCCCATTATACGTCGGTTACTCACCCGCCTCTTGGCCATGATTCCCTCCATGATCGTGGCCATTGCAATCGGGCGATCGGGCATCGACACTCTTCTTGTTGCCTCTCAGGTCGTGCTGTCTATTGTTCTCCCTTTCATTACCTTCCCCCTCCTCTACTGCACCGCTAGCAAGGCAATCATGAACGTGCACAGATCGACACCATCAGGGGCTGTCACACCCACTTCCTCACAGCCCCCTCATTTAGAACGCGGGACTGGTGGGGACGAAACTGTTGATTTCAGCAATGGAAAATTTAGCAACTGTGTTGGCGCTACGATTTGGCTAGCTGTGGTGGCAGCGAACGTATACGTGATCGTTGAGCTGGGACTGGGCCACGGGACATGAAAGACGACGACATAGAGGACCGCATCAACTTCCCACTGTTTCGGCGCACGCTCATCAACACTAGCACTGTCAAACTTCTATTCAAGTTATTGTACCACAAGTAATTTTCTTGTTCATGTACGTCGCATAATTTCTAGACGACAAGTGACAAACGACGCCATTATATCCGACATGGGTCGCTTTAAAGAAACGTATTATTCTTGGAATTCAAATAATTGATCTTCCTCATCGATGATTTGGTGTGAACCAAATACAAAACCTGTGCCTCATGAACGGTAAGGATGCGGCATGAGCGAAAAGCGACGAAATTTATGCAAAGTCCCTGGATATGACATTACAGCATCGATTGCAAATCAAACAACTCAAATGAGTTTTTCCAGTGGGTTGATGATAACACCAGGCTATGGTTAAGAAGTGAGAATTGGTCTTGCAGGGGGCACCATGAACCAACCAACGTACCTTTTTCATGACTCTAGGTAGGGTGCCCTTCTGGAATCCAACACGTGTATTCCATTCCGCTCCTAATGGGCGTTCCATGCTACGCTCAAATTGCGCTTTGGAGGTGAAAGGGAACGGCAGGTCTTTAACGAGGTATTTTCCAGCCTTCTTGTCCCGCTTTTCAGAGACGATGATATGTTTCTTGTTGTAGTCAGCACGAGTGGTGGGGTCGATACCTGCGATCTGCTTTATTCGTTGAGGTTTTGGCGGTACCTTGCGGAGGCCGGTTCCGCCCCATGAGCCCTGTAGATTGGAGACGATGAAAAGATGGGCCGATTGGGATCGATGCTTCACTCACCCAACCAGGAATCGTAGTGTCCACCTCGCGAGGTGCGTCGGAGGCGACTTCACGTCGTTTGACTTCTTCAAACTCCTAGGAGCGATGTGAGTCATCTGCACCCAAAAAGTTCAGATCAGGCTTACCTGAACTACATTATCGCCCGCAAAAGCAAGGGCGACCAGATCGCGCTGCTGGAACGCTTTTACACCATTGGCTTTTCCCTTGCCTTTCAACTCAAGTGTCATCTCTTGCGCCTCAATCTCACTGTTCGCGTCTGAATCGTCATCGTCGCCATCAACTGCAACGTCCTTGTTGTTGAGGACTTCTTTCTTCTGCTTTTTCTCCTTCGGTATCGGAGTGGGCTTGGACGACGCTGAAGAAACAGGAATGGAGGACAACGTCAGGACATTGTCCATAGAAATCTCCAATACGGCGTCCTCCTTGGCTTTTTCACGCTCCTCCTCTCTCTTCTGAGCCTTCTTCTTCAACTTGTTTTTGCTCTTATCCAGAGCTTTGCTATCCTTGCCCACCACAATTTCATTGGCTTTCCGAGGTGCTTTGACCCTTGAAGATTCACGAGGCACCAGCCACGGATTAACCTCATCGGATTCCGCGAGTTGTTCTGTGAGAGGTGACCGCTTGTTCGGCCTAGGCGACGCTGGGGGAGAAATTAGGTCGGTGGATTTGAGTGTCACGCTGGATGTATCGGAGGAAAGTGAACCGAGAGGACGAGTAGGATGTTGTCGGTTATTCTGTAAAATGTCATCAGAAAGATCATGAATGAAGTTGTGTAAGTCGATACAGACTGTTGCTCCAGGACGGTAAACAACTCGACCACCTATGCGTTGGGAGACGACACCGCTTGTAGGATCGATGTCTTCCTGTTCTTCTTGCTGCTCTTCGTCGCTGTCCTCAGCCGCAGCAACGGTACCCCCCATCTCCTTGATGAAGTCGTCCACCACTCTATTCGCAGCCTGTTGTCCCCGCGCCATGGCGTCCTTCATGAACTTCATCTCAAACACACTCTTTCCCTTCTTCCCCTCATCGAGTTCTATTTCGTTATGATCCGACTCCATCTTCCTCAGCTCGTCAAAAGCCCCAGCCTTGATCTTTTCCACCATACCCTCGATATGTTCTTCGTCGTCATCATCATCATCGTCATCGTCGCCCTCACTCTCGTCACTGCCCACACCCTGTATCCTCCGCCTCAACTTCTCCCCCCTGGCCAGCATATCTTCGATCTCCTTCCGGCCTTCAACGTCTAGTCCCTCCTTCGCCCTCATCTGCTTGGCCCATTTCCCTGTATGTTTGTGCCGCAGCGTGGCCCTCTCTCTGGCCCTCTCCAACTCCCGCTTCATCTGCCCCTCCTCACCTTCCTCCTCTTCGTCAATCTTCTCTCCGAGTCTTTCCTTTTCTTTTCTCCGTATCTTACGGTACGTCTTACTCTTGATCTTGTTCACCCTACGCGCCTTGATTTCCGCACGAAACATCAATTCACGCATTTTACGAAGTTCTCCCCGGCGCTCGGCAACTTCCTCCACGGAGAGCTTGTTGGCTTTGAGCATCGTCTCCTCCGTTTCAGGGAGATCTTCTTCGCGGAGTTTGGCGGACTTGAGGAGGGTATCAATAGAGCTTTCCAAAGCCGTTGAAGGCTAGAAAGGAAAGCGTGTGTTCGTTGAGTACACAAAGTAGATTAGTCGTGTACACACTTTGAATTTAGCAGCTAGTTCAAGGTTGGAGACGCGTCCTGTCGGCTGGGCTTGTAAAGGGAAACTGAGATGCTCAGCCTACAAAAGAAAGAGCTCAGAAGAGTCTTCAAACAAATATGGATTAGTCAACCTACTTCTCGGATTCGTTTCATAGTCCCGGACCACTTGTCCACTTCCTCCTTGGTTTGTTCGTATGCAGCTTCACGATCTAGCCGTTCTTGTATACGATGAGGAAGAGGGGCCGATAACGTTTTAGCCTTGGACGAGGATGCCGACGCCAAAATCTTGGTCGACTTTTTGAGAGAGAGAAGGGTCGATGATTGGGATGCCAGAGGGGCGAGAAGATCGTCTAAATTCAGTTTAGAACCTAAGATAAAGCATAAGCACGATAGGCGAAAGATCATCAAGAAAACCACAAACCTGCTGCGCGTGCGTGGAATTCATCCTCAGCACCTGCTTCAGTGCGTTCCTTCACCAGTCTGCGTTTACGAGCTCTGGTGTCAGTACCAACTGAAGAATCTCCGTCCCCAGGAGCCTTGCGCTTTTTGGACGAGGTTGGGTCTAGTTTGGATACAAAATTCTGTAGTTCCTCTAGAGCTTCTGGAGAGACTTCGTCTTCGTCTCCGGAAAATTCAACTTCCATTTTCTCATCCTCAGAAGCAACGTCGGATCCTGAGCCTCCTTCCGAGTCGTCCTCTCTGTCTGATTTTCGGCTCCCGTGTTCCTCATCCGCGCTGAAGTCCTCATCCGCTTCTCGAGGTGGTTGAGAGGGAAGTTTGGGAGTATCCTCGGTGTCGCTTCCCATGTCTACTTCACCCTTTCCATCAAGAACGTCCAAAAGGTCGATAAATTCGTCATCGTCGCCCTCTTCCTCCTCGTCTTCATCATCTGATTTGGATCCCTGGTCCATATCTTCATCCTCATCGAGGTCCACGTCTGCGAAACGAACGGACGCCTTCCTCTTAGACGAAGGTACTTTTTTCTTTGCCTACGATTAGATTAGCATTTTGAGAGCAATCAACTTGTAAGTAACGGTATACCTTCTTCGAGAAAAAACCCGCAAACCTCTCCTCGTCGCTCTCTTCAAACGCAGCATCGCTGTCGATCTCCTCGTCGTCGTCACTGGCCACCTGTTCATCGTCTTCATTTTCCCCAATCAACCTCGCCCGCATGTTTTCCGGCTCATCATCCTCGTCGTTCGCCCCATCAAGTCCGACACCATATTCCAAAGCCTCCTCGCGATCCAAATCCAACCCTACTTTAGACCTGCGAGCTTTTCCTTGGACGTATTCGTACACATCGTGAGAGGCGGGCTGTTTCCCCTTTTTCGCCAGGCGTTTTTCGTACCCTGCAATGTTCGCTGCGGCCTTGCTTGTAAAAGATTTCGATTTGACTATCTTTGAACCATGTTTCAAATTAGCCATACATGAACTTAGCTTGGTTCACAGTAAGTGGGAACGGAGGTCGGAAAAATCAGCTTATTACATAACCATTGAAATTCGAAATCAGGATCCATACTACTTGATCTAGTTTTTTTTAAATTGGTCTTAAAGTTACCCCTTTTGATTTCTAGACTCCACATCGCAGCTTATGTAGGGCAAAGTCTCAGCTTGTCTATCTTCCAATCCAACCATGGCACCTCTCACGTAAGTCCCAGCATTTGATACAAGAGATTCAAGTTTGACTTCATCGTAGGGTGAAAATCCGCCATTTTAACAGTAAATGCGGAAGGTTGAATTGGGTATCTTCCAAGTTATACACCTTCGAATTTCGGGATGGGATCGATATGAATCGACTTCCACTTGATTTCGACGATATGAGAGATGTCTGGGTATATCTACCTAATACTTCATGCTGATTAACCCTCATCCCTTATAGATAGTAACCAAGGGCGACTGGCAGTGTAACTGGCGCAACATCAGGAGACTCGAAGGTGTTGGCCACTCTGACATAATATATGCTGCCCCCGGTCTCAATTTCTATCATACAACGGATCGCTTTCTGTCCATGAAGAAAATCTTGCAACAAAGGTTGATAACCTGGGAAGTTGGACAGGATCCTTCCCTCCTAGTCATCCGTAAGTCGTCCTCGAATGCGGACGTCTCATGCGACTCAGCGAAGTCAGGTTCATTCGACTTACTTCCACTGCTCTGTCGCCACGGGCGTAGTTCGATATTGCCTTGGATCAAATTCTCGTTGTGGGTGGTACGGCTCCGCCTCCATCGATTCGTCACGAGGGCCAAGGGTCCAGTCCAACTCGGCACGATGAGCTACGGATATGAACCCGATTTCTCCCAGTACATGAAGTCACAAACAGAGGATGATTCACTTCCTCCGCCCTATTCAGTGTGAAATAAATTCGTTGAGCCTGACGACACTGCGAGTGTTTGTATCTGCTGAACAATCTTCAAAAGTTGAGCCTTGACACTTTTTTTTGAAGACGAATTCAGCGCGTTACGTGCTCGGCGTCAGGGCGCACTTTGCACGACAGACAGGACCAAGAGGTGTCAGATCCGCCGATCCTGGCCGTCAATGATCTCATGGGGAGGTACTTAGGGGGACCCCACTGTGTTGTTGGCAAGGTCAAAATAAACCACATTCAAGGACTCAAGCATACTTAGCGTGTATACCAGTTTTTCTATGTAGGGCTTTCTTTTTTTTTGCAAACTCTTGGCGAACTTTTACACTGATAGCAACAATGTACTTGACTCACAATGCCCGACATGAAATTAGAAGAGGTCGTTCCACTGGTTCCTCTAAAAGTAAACTATTAGTTCAACCAATCTTCGACAACTTATACGCGCCCTCATTAGCCCTTCCCACACCTCCATGGCGACCCACAGCCTCTCGGCCCAAAATAACCAACCCATCGGCGCCCGAGCCATGGAACGGCCGCGGCAGGAACAAGGCATCAACAGTACCACCCATACATTCATGCCTACTACCCGTCGTCCTAACAGGAATAAAAAGCCAAAACACCTCACCAGCTTCTGATCCCTGGGTAGGGCGAACAAGAAGCCGTTCAACGCATTTCTTGATCCACTTGGCGTGGTTGGGGTGGTACACGACGTCTGCGCCGGCTAGTGTGATATCGAATGGTTTGTCGAATGGCACCTGGGTTCTCCCAGTCTAAGGCCTTGACGACAATCGAAGGCTTGTCCGCGGTCCCGGGGAGGTTTGTCAATACGTTCACTGATAGGTTCGCTCAAGGTTCGCTAGGACGTCTGGGTGGTAGTCCGTCGCAATACTGTAGTAATTTCTGGGGTGCCTGTGATATCGCCCTCAGTACATTGTTGTTGTCGTAGCAGTTTGGCAGCGATGATGTTCAGCATGCCAGTGCCTGCCCCCAACTCCAATATCTGGAGTGGTCTCTTCCTCGAATTTGAACAAACAGGCAAAAATGTAGCTGGAGACGCACACATTCGCCCCGAGAGCAAAATGGAGCTCCCCCAGCTTTGCAGCCCAACAGATGTATGGTCCTCAATCGAAAGCGGGGCGTATTTGAGCTCAACCAGGATTTGGCAGTCACTCACGGCGGTGGAAAAGGCGAACCAGGGGCCCCGAGCGTTACTTCTGGGTCTTCGTCTCCGCCGGAGACTGAGGCTGACAAAAGGGAGATAATACTAGCCTCGTCGAATATCTGGGGCGTCTCCCGGTCCGCTTCTACGTCGGACTCCGATGCCTCTATCCAAGTGTCTGCGAAGGCAACAAAGCCAGTAATCCATCGAACAGCAAAGACGCGCTCCAATGGGTCCGCACGGAGAAGTTGTGCGGTCTCAGTTCATCATCATCGTCAAGTTTCTCCCGGTATCCAGCTTCATTCTCCACCTCTTCCTCCTCCTCCTCAGCGGAAGCATAACGGAATCCGGGACCACCGATGTAGGCCGCCGGATAGTTCGCTTCAAAATGACCATAGAAAGCTTGGTTGGGAGGCGTGGTTTCGGGAAATATAGATCCCACAAATTCTGCAATCCACAATTTGTCCCGTCGAAGCAAAGCCAGGCGCCCAAGGGGCGGTTAAGTCGTTGTAGGGTTCCTCGGCACTGGAAAACGCGCCCTCGTGAAAATGGGAGTTGAAAGGTCCATCCTCGTCGCCATCTAAGCGAAAGTCTAAAATTCTAAACGTCAGACTGTTGTAGTTGGGGAGGCCGTGGAGCACTGAAAACTTTCCTCCGACTCCACTGGCATCCCTTGGCCCACCATTCATTTTCTTCTTTGTTCATCTTGGTTCGTTCCTGCATCAATTAGACTTGAACGTTTGAACTCTCTTTCCCCTTCGGTGTATGCAAATGAACTTGTTTCGTCGAAATCAAGCTACAGTAGCACCACATCAATAAAATTCCGTTAACTTCTGCTGAGACTTACATTAAGCAGTAACAACTGCAGCCTTTTCTCCCTACAAGCAAAGAAAATGTGTTGTATTTATTGTGCTACGGAGCCAGACACTGAAAACGGTCCAACTCCCCCCACGTGATAGTACCCCCACACAACCCCACACGCCCCACCACATTACTAATATTATTACTAATACACGCACCATTCAGGAATCGACACGTCATTGAGAACACATAGACCAAAAGAAGGAAGAGTGTAAATCTATCTGCTAGGATAGATTCCACTGCTTACAAGACAGACCAACAGAATTTAACCGCTTATATGATTCTGGAGGTCTGAGGGGGAGTAAGGGTACAGGGAAGTAAGGTGCGTAGGAGAAGGTGGTGGTAAGAGTCCAAGCGCTAGAGAGCGCGTATATACCAAAAATACGAGAACCAAGCAACAAGACCAAACATGAGCAACGGGACCAAACAGGGGTAATGCGCCAGGATTACACTCTCCCCTGCTTTAAAAAAAGAAATAAAAGAAAAAAGAAAGGTTAGTAAAGTGAGAAAGATATAAGTAAAATCCGAGCGCCGGGTGCGTCAAAACCCAATGGGAAAAAGCTACCGGCTGGCAAAGACGAAAGGGAAACTACCTAAAATTAAGGCGATCCATTCCGCGAGGCCAGCCAAATATCGAGCGCTTCACAATCCTCTAGTTCGGAACCAGGTAACCACTCGTCGTGTTCACGGCCAAAGCCGTGCCACTGACGAGATATTGGTAACCACGGCCACGACGGCGTGCGTCTAAAATTTGATCAATGTACTGCTCTTCATTCCCATCTTCTGTGATGATGGGATCCGGTTCCTCAAAATGTCGTGAGGGAAATTTTTCCGTGTCAGATTCAATGTACGGTATGACTTGAGAAGTGTGGAACGTCGGGAAAATGTTGGGAGAGTTTGGGAGATCTAGCGTTACAGTTGAATGTTCTTCGTCAATATCGGTAATTGTGTACGGTCCGTCATATCGTGGCATAAATTTGGCGACACGCTTTTCGCCTTTGGATTTGTATTCTTTTTGCCTGTGCTTTGTAGAGAGGCGTACGCACGAGCCCACGGCGAATGGGAAAGACAATGTACAATGTTTGTTCGCCTGAACTGCTTGTGATAACTTAGCCTTCAGCAAGTTATCTTGCGCTTCAAATACATCCGTTTCTAGCTTTCTTATGACATGCCATGCATCAACATCCGCTACTGTTGCAGACGATTTCGCTGGTACAAGTGGTGGAATGATGCGTGGGCAGCGGCCCATGCACAACTGGAAAGGTGTAAATCCAGTTGATTTATTGACCGTGTTCATGAGGTCAAAGCGAACTCTCGGTAACGCACGTACCCAGCCCAACTGATTTCTCTCAACATGGTACCGCAGTGCTTGGTTAACTGTCTTATTTGTGCGTTTGCTTGAACCGTCTGTTTCCGGGTGGTACACAGTTGACAATTTCAGTTTCACACCAGTGAGCTTATGGAGAGATTTCCAGAATCTGGAAACAAAGAGTTTGTCTCTGTCAGAGACGATCTCCGACGGAAGTCCATTTTCGCAGTACCACCTATCGAAAAACAAGTATGCGAGATCTTCGGCTGAAATATCGGTGCGGGATGCTACCAATTGTATATCGCTGCCAAGACAGTCTGTAAACGTAATGATTGAATTTTTGCCTTCATCCTTGGGAAGAGGACCAATGAAGTCAATGGTGATGGAATCACCCCGCTGATCCGGGATTGGTAATGGGTGCAACGGGCCATATGGTTTGATTGTTGAGGCTTTGTTACGTTGGCAATCCGGACAAGATGCGACATATCCCAATTCCAGGTCACGTCGCATGTTAGGCCAGTAGTATGCATTTCGCAGTGAGCCATATGTTTTGTCGAAACCAAAGTGTCCAAGGACGTCATGCGCGAGAACAAAAAGCGTTTCACAGAGGTTTCCAGTGCGTGGGATGATGAGTCTGTTCCCGATATACCACAAATCATCGCGTAAGGTCAGTTCAGGTAAGCTGAGTGATGCGGAATGTAACGTTTTACACCATTTATCTTCTGCATAACCGGCCTTGACTTCTTTCAAAAAGGTTTTGTCTGCTGTTATTTTTAGTGTGGTACAGATGGCCGTTGGGAACGATATTCTTGAAGAAAGATGCGTTGCGGTGGAAAGGGCACTGATGCCTTTGACACTGTGGATGCCTGGTGAAGTGGTGGTTTCTCCCTCTCTCTACACGCTGTGGTACACTACTTGATGACTAATCTACGCATCACGTGCCTCCTTGGAAGGGGTGCTCCATACCCTATTCCATCTGCCCCCCTCCATTATGGAGGCGTCCTCGCCTCCTTGCCGCCACTCTAGCACCGATTCCACTGTCTTCATCTTCCTGCTCTTCCTGCTCCTCCCCATTGTAGAAGAATCCCGGATCACCAACACCCTCTTCATCTGGGACCTCTAACTCCGAATCCTCAAGCTCCAAGTCCTGATCCTCCAACTCTTCATCGGCTAGACCTCCTCCTTCTACTGCTGCTGATGCCTCCTCTTGTGCCCCACTCAACTCTCCTGAACCTTCCTCCTCTGATGCGAGCTTTTCCTCAAACTCCTTTTGCTCCACGGCCAGCTCCGTTCCTTCCCTCGGCGTGAAACCTCGAAGACGCCTTGCGTTGAACAGCCCTTCCAATGGCGTGCCCTCCAATGTCTCCAGTTTGTACGAGTTCAAGAGGCGTTCCACAACGCGACGCGGGGGCGACCACATAGGTGTTATTTTGCGTTCCGTGCTTAGGGTTAGCGCTAGCTTATTGTTGTATACCTGTACCAGCTCCCCTTTCTTGAATTCAATGACCCCAGCCCTTGACTTGGTGACCTTGCGATCGAATGCGGCCTTCCGTCGTACAGCGTGCTGGACCGCCTCCGCATATCCGTCAAGACGTTGTTGTGCCGTGTAAGTCATGTGTATATCAATGTCCGATGGCGGCAGAAATGAACTGCTGACTTCTATAGGCGTTTTTGATGTGTTCACCACCAGCCCCAGTAAGATTTCCTTGGGGCAGAACTTGAGAGCTGGCAAAATACGCCAGTTGAGAATGCGAATAGCTTTGTCGAAGTGGTCAGGCCACGTTGCAGGCAGTTTGTCCCACGTAACCGCTTGCCAGCCATCCTCGCCGATCTCTGGAGCACACAACCTTGCAAGAACGTACAAGAGGAGTTTGTTAGTACCTTCAACAAGCCCATTGACCCACGGTGAGTAGGCTGCAACTGTGTGCAGCTTAGTACCCCATCGCTCACAATTCTCCTCCACTTCTCGGTTCTTGAAATGTTTGCCCCCGTCGGCCATGAAGGTGTCCGGTGGTGCGAAGTTGTGGAAGATATCGTCTAGAGACCTGTTGGTTGTTGTTGCGCTTCCGTGAGTCTTGAATTTGTACCCCCACACGTGCTGAGAGCAGGTGTCCAAGTAGATTCCAGCTGTGTGGTATCCACCTTTCCCCACGGGAAGGGAGAGATAGTCACCCACAAGTAATTCGAATGGGTGACGCCTGACGATCGGTTGCAAAAGGGAGTGGAGGTGCGTACCTCCAAAATTCTTGCATCGTGCGCAGTCCATGATCGCCTTTATGATCGACTCATCTAACTTGGGACTGTAGTATCGATCCAGGAGCGCGAGTTTCATGGCATCCCGATGCCAGTGTCCCCCTTGCTCATGCTCTAGCCTCGCCAGCTGGACTGCCTCCACTCGCGATACGCACTCACGCCTAGCTCTTGCCCGTGTACCACTGCCGCCGCCCACAAACCAAAGCTTCCCATCTTCGAGCATATACTGGGTTTTCCGGTGTTGTGCTCTTTTCTTGTCCCTGACTGTCGCATTGTTAGACGATAAGCCCACGATGGCGTCGATGACATCGAGGAACAGCGGTTCGCCCTTGAACCGCTCCTTCAGGACTGTTAGGTCCGGCAAGTCTGCCACGTGGTACAGGTCATGCACCAGTCCTGTCGTTTCCTCCCAATCAGGGGTGACCGTCCATTCACTGCCATCGCCTGGGGTTTTGTCCGTACCCTCGTATTGCCTGCTGACACCATCTGCAATATTCACTTTCCCCGGTATATGCCTGACATCAACTATGTTGTGAGCTAGTACTCCATCCCTCCAGCGTGCATGTGTCGCGCTTAGCTTATCACTGAGCAGGATATCGCGCAAAGCCTGGCAGTCCGTTTCCACTTCCACGGGGTAGCCATATACAATATCTGAGAACTTGTCAAAGGAATATTTTAGCGCCGCGAACTCGAGCAAGAAGGGTTTGTATTTCTCTTCTGATGACGATGTTCGTTTAGATGCGAAGCCGATAGGGTGCAGTCGAGTGACCACCTTCCCTCCAGGTAATGTTGTTGCAATCTTCTGTGAAAGAACCCCTGCAAACGCATCTTTGCACGCATCCGTCGTCAGAATGAAATGTGTCCCATCAAAACGAGGAGCCGTGAGGACTGGCTCTGAGACTAACCGTGCCTTCAGGTTTATGAATGTCGCCGTGTGTTCGTCCTTCCAGTGCTGCTGAAGCTTATAAGCCTTCATGATCCGCTGGTATGCCGCTTTCTTGGTGCCGTTGGGGATGTCTACCGCACGCAAAAGATCACGGAGAGGCTTCTCAAGTGCCGCATAGCCTTTCACCAGATCCCTGAAATAAGCTGTGAGTCCTAAGAATCCTTCCAAATGTGATGCGTCTTCAGGAATCTTCCAGTTAACCACTGCCGTGAGCTTGCTGGAGTCTGGACTAACACCGTCTGGTCCGACCCTTGCGCCTGCGAAAACGGCTTCCGTCATGAAGACCTGCAGTTTCCCTGGTGATAGGGACAGCTTCTCCCTACGAACACGCTCCAGTATGCGCCGCAACTTCGAAATTCCTTCCTCAAAGGTATCCGCTGCCGATCCGCCGTCGTCGACAAAGTTTTCGCAAGTGCCATCGGTGATGAGGTCATGCATGCGTTGGCCCACTGTATGCCCAAACTCTGAGGGGCCCCCTGTAACGCCGAAGGGCATTCTTTCATATGCGAAATACCCATGTCCTTCCAAGTAGAACGTAATATATGGTTGAGAGTCCGGGTGAATCGCAATGCCGTAGAATCCAGCTGCAAAGTCGAAGATGTGGACGTATCTGTGGCCAGATAAGCGCAACTGCTTTGCACGGATATCCCCTTGGGGTACTGGAGCGATTGTCGTGACTTTATTGATTTCGCCGAAATCCTGGCATAAGCGCCATTTTTTGGGTGACGTGGGTGTAGGCGTGTTATCAGCAGGTGGTGGACGAGGCGGAAGGTCGAACGCCATGGGTAGACCATGCTTCACACACTCATCATTGACCTTGTGCTTCAACTCATCTTGTGACAGGCCCGTGTTATCGTGTGCCTTCTGAGCTAAGACAGACGGTGCCACGCAACGAACTTCTCCAGGGTGCATTGGCCGAATTATACCTCCTTTCAACATCTCCTGGACTTTCGCTGCCATAAACACTTTTTGGTCTGGGTTGAAGGATCGCTGGGGAATTTTTGTACGAAATGTGGCATCCTCGGGTATATTGAGCTTGTGGACTGCATTCGGTATGAGGTTCACTTCACTGAGCGACAACGCAAAGCAGTCCGCGAATTCCGAAATGAGCGCCTTGACCTCGTTGCATTGGGTTTCAGTGATGTCCTCGCCTATTTGTACCAGGTCTAATATCTTTGAGACACGCGTTTGCAGAAACGGGTCCGTGTGACGTGTAAAGATTGCTTCATCAGGTGAAGCTTCCGTAGGGTTTGTGACTGGCAAAACAAGGCAGGGCGCGTCAGCTAATGTGGCCTTCTGATGATCAGCGGGGTGTGTGGGTACTCCCCTCGAGGGGGGTTCTGCACTCCCCCCACTTAGATCTTCATGCTCCAGCTCAGGCAGTTCGATTTGGCATACAACAGGCACTTCCACGGACTTCTGATCTTCCTCAACATCAACTGCATACTCAGACACTATAGTGTGAGGGTCGTCAGCCATCTTTGCTTCCTCTGAAGCGGGGATATAATCTTGTACTTCCCTCGAGGGGGGTATGTCACCACCCCCCTGGTCCATACTATGCTCCTCTTCCTGTTTCCCTTCACTCTGCTCTCCTGTCTCTACCACACATTCCTCGATCCACGCAACGTCATCACCTTCCATGTTTTCCTCGGTCACCTCTTCCATGGTAAATTCCATAACATCTGCAGCAAAAACGGACTTGTCATTCCGAACTAATGGATCACATGTATCCAGATGCAAAACTTGCCTCGAAGGGGGATTCGCGCTCGAAGAGCCCCCTACCAAGTTTCTTCGCCCCTCCACGTCACTTTTGAGGCTCACCCCTGCTGGTGCCACTATAGTGTTGCTGTGGAGAACTGTTGACTTGTCGCCAGATCGAATGGAGACCGTGTCGGTGTGGTAGTCATGCACCGCCTGGAAACGCCGCAAGAGTGGTTTCCCAAATAGGAACGTCCAGCCGCCTCCACTGTTGAAGACCTCGAATTCCCCTTCTGCGCGTATTCCGTTCAACTCTAACATGCCTTTCCATACTGCTTGTGACTGGACAATCGTCCCATTCGCTACTCGCAGGAGTCGGTTCGAGGGTTTGGCTTGGCCGTCAAGGCGATGCTTGATCTTCTCAAAGAACAGCGAACACATCGCGCCGACCATTGCTCCCCCATCAAATAACGCATTCACCCTTACTACCTCGCCCCGAGGCCCGTGCAGGCACAACCAATGCCTGAACGGCACCTCCTTCTTTTTGAGTGATCCCCATGTAGTATCATCATCCCCAACAGAATACAAGTCAATCACAGATGAATTCGCATGACTATGTACAACAGTGTAATTGTCCGAGCTGTTGGGGCGGTCGATCTCTGTGGGCTCTACCGAAATCTGGGCCGCCCGCTCGCCGTTTATGCAGGCGGCCCTTCCCCATTTCCCTGATTCATTGTAGATGTTAGCGCACTGTCTCCGAGCCAGCTTTGAAAATTGTCGACTGCGTCGTCCACGAGATTGACCTGGGCCGCTGATGCAGAGCGCAGGATTCGCCCACAGATGGTTCGGAAAGTGCGTTCGCGATGGTTGATAAGCTCTGTGGTGCATTGCCCACTGTTACGGTGGTGGCCTGTATAACCACAGCCGTAACATTCTCCTGAGCCTGGGGGCGCTCCTCCTGGACGCAGCGGAAATCCTGTAGCAATGGTGACAGGACCGTTCCCATGCTTCGCCATCCACTCACGAGCCTGCTCTATCCACACCCTGTTACCCTCCTGCGTGTTGGGCTGCAGAGGGTAAAACGTGAGGCTGTTTCGGAGTGTGTCTCGGTCAGTGTTGGTTACTGGCGGAAAGAGATTGCCTCGGCCCCCTGTTGAGCTTGTGAAGGGGTTGGCATTGGTGGCGGCTGCAGGCTGGGTGGTATTGGTGGTTGCAGCTGGGGTGCTTCGTGTGTTTCGAATAGTCATTGATTGCAATGCATTGCTAGCGTTCGACATTGGCGATAAGGGAACGGTGGGCTGTGGTGGACGGCGTTGCTGCTGCTGTGCGCGGTGTAAGCCTGCTATCGCGGCATCAACTTTCTCCTTCTCCTCCTTCTCCTTCTGATACTTCTTCACCCCGTCCCTAATATGGCTCATCTCCACCTCCTTTATCGCACTGCAAAACTCGGTCCAGTTCGCGTACGTCTCCTTCACTTTCTGGCGTATGATTTCCGGCAATTCGTCGCGGACTTTCCAGATGGAGTTGGTGCCCGTGCTGATTTTAGCTTGCTTTGCGAGACTGAGCGCCTTTTCGGCGAAGACGACGTGGGACCAGACATCCTCCCCCTGGTACTTCTCCATCTTCCCCAACTCCTCCACCTTAAGCCGCAGCTCACATAAGTCCCTCTCCAATTCCGTCTCCGTCTTCTTTGCCTTCGCCACTGGCGGAAAGCGCTCTAAAAACGCCGCCTCGACGACTTTGAACGCCTTCTTTGAGGCATCTTGCTCCTTGAACCACTCCTCTGCTGGGGAGCTGGACTTGAGGTGGTCGCCGAAGCTCTCCACCATGCGTTCGTCCTCGGTGATATGCAGGTACATCATGAAACGACGGAATTTCTTTAAGAAATCAGTAGATTGGATAGAGCCTTCCGGCTCACCTCCAAATTCAGGCACTGCAATGAGTGGACCTGACATGAAAGGCTTCGGGGGATGACAAGAGCTGGGACGAGGAGGCTGTTGCGGCGACGGTTGCTGAGAAGCTGATGGCGGCCGGAAAAGGTCCTCAAACGGAGAGAGGCTGTCTGGGTTCGAGAGTGTAAGGGAGCTTTCTGTTGATGGTGTGGATGTGCCTGTAGACGGTGTGGTTGACGATGGTGTGATGGTAGCTGCTCTATCTCTAGGAGCGAACTTCCCTTTCTGACGTGGCTGGTCCTTCCAAGAGTTGTTGGGCGCCAGGTTGCTTATGAGTGCTGTAGACAAGGTGTGGGGTGCACGTTTAGAACACGCTGGAGACACGAGCTGCTTTTCGGAGATTGTAGGCCGTCGGGCGTCAGATGCGGTGACGTTGGACGGTATGACGTTGACGTGGGACGGTGGACTTAAGACGGTGATAGACGGATGGACGTATATAGACGAAAGAAGCGCGCGTGTACAAGTGCGAATCACGCTCTCATCACCAGGTGGAAAGGGCACTGATGCCTTTGACACTGTGGATGCCTGGTGAAGTGGTGGTTTCTCCCTCTCTCTACACGCTGTGGTACACTACTTGATGACTAATCTACGCATCACGTGCCTCCTTGGAAGGGGTGCTCCATACCCTATTCCAGCGGTTTCCCAAGGTCCACACAGGTCAGGTACCGTGATGCTTGCTATTGATGTTATGTTGTCATCATCTCCGCAAAAATCGTATGGGTGCCTTGCAACTGTTTCGGCTTGTGCAAGTGTTTCTGGGGAAGGGAGACGAGACAGTGCGTCGGCGACAGAGTTTTCTTCGCCTTTGATATATACTATCTTGGCGTCAAACTGGGACATGAATTCCATCCAGTGCGCTTGGCGGCGTGACAAATCTTTCTGGACATTGAAATTCTGCAGTGTCTTGTGGTCCGTGTAAATGAAGAATGGCGAGCCCAAAAGATCAACACGCCATTTCTTTAATGCCCGAATTATTGCTAATAATTCCTTTTCGCGTACGGGGTAATTTAGTTCAGCATTTTTAAATGTCATAGAATTGAATGCCACAGGACGCGCCGATTCCCAAGAAGGACCGAACGACAGTACGGCACCCGAACATTTGTCACTGGTGTCCGTTGTGACAAAAATTTTATAGTCAGGCATTTTGGTAAAGTCGATTGTTGTTAGGCAATCCCTACTCGTTACAATAGCCTTTATAGCGTCAAATGCCATTTGATATTTAGGCGCCCACGGCGGAAAATTCCTCTCAGATTCTTTCGTCGTAAGTTCGGAAAGTACGCCCGAATGATCAGCAAGTGCCGGCAAAAAGGCAGCAATGTAACGCACTAATCCCGAAAACCCTCTGACTTCAGTCACGGTTTTTGGTTGTGGCCAATTCAATATTCTGTCAATTTTTTTGTTATCGGCTTCGATACTGCGTGTGCTTATGTGATGTCCCAAAAAATCAATTTCGGTACAGAACAAGTGTGTTTTATCTGGATTCACATATAACCGTGCTGCGCGCAAGGCATCCAGGACGGCGCGTACATTTTGTTCATGTTCTTCCAAGGTCTTTGACCATATGACGATGTCATCTAGATATATGTGACAGATTTTTCCGATGAAATGCCTCAATGCTGCTGTTACACGTCGCTGATGGATTGCAGGTGCATTCTTGAGGCCCATGGGCATGACCAGCCACTCATACAAGCCAAGAGGAGTGTTGACTGCTGTCAGATGCACATGGTCCGGATGCATTCGCGTTTGGAAGAAACTGTTTGTCATATCAATCGTCCCCCAGATCTTGCCCTTGGCGCAGTCATTTAATATATCATCTATTCGGGGCAACGGGTGACTATCGGTAACTGTATTTTCATTCAGTTGTCGGTAATCATTTACCCAGTGGGGTAACATGTTTGGATTTGCTTTTGGAACGATGAACACCGGTGAAGCGCAAGGGGAGGAAGACGGCCGGATATGCCCAGCATCCAAATGCTGTTGAATTAAAATCTGCCATGCCTCCTTGTATTTTCGGGGTGATGGGTAAGATCTCGATTTAATAGTCTTTTCAGCATTTTTGATGTGTATTTCAGCCACCACATCACAAGGGAGCTCATCTGCATGTGGAATAGGTTCAAAGATTTCTTTATCCTCGGTTTTCAATTTCTTTTCGCGCGCGTTCAGTTGTTCCTGAACAGCCAGTATTTCAATTCGTTCTCGGACAGCCCCTGCTACGTCAAAATCTTTAACTTCTTTGGGTTTCAATTTTGCGTTTTTTAACCGATCATGGCAAACCATCATTAGTTCTGCCAGTACAAGCTTTTTATCCGCCTTTGTAGTTTTTATTTGTTCTCGAAGCTTGGGTTTAGGAGGTGGAGGAGGGAGAATAATTGGCGGGTTCAATAAATCATATGATGTTTTTTTGTCTACACAGGTTCTAGCAGCATGATCTGTAACGATGGAGTTCCATTCTAACCAAGGCAGTCCAAGAATAACAGGTACACAGAGTCCAGGAGTAATGATAGCTTTAACGACGTGGGAGGTCCATGAGGAATCTAAGGATGAAAGGGACAACTTGACATAATAATACAGTTCGGTCTTCTTCTTTTCTTTGCTGAAAGCGACATCTACGAGCTCGGGTTTGTGCAATCGGTATTTTTTTAGTCCAAGGCATTTGACAAGTTCTGGGCGGATGAGTGCTAGATGTGCGCCGTTGTCTATGAGGGCGCGCGTCTTCATGGGAAAATCATCCGTCAGACTGTGAATTTGACAGTTCCAAATCAGATGCTTGCTACGAAGCGGTGGACAACTCACTTCATGGCGTGAAACGTCCCAGTCTTCATCAGAATCGGACGCGTAATTGCCGGGGTTTGGCAGGACAGCAGCAGTAGCAGAAACATCGTCGTCGTCGGAATCGACGTCTTCTATGGTTGCGGAGGAAGTAGCTGCCACAGGTTTAGACGACGCGGACTTAGCAGTTTTGGAAACAGCTTTAGCCTTCTTTGCGTTCAAGAGTCTGTCATGGTAAGCGTCTTGTAACCCTTTCCGGAAGGGAACCCGTCTGGACAGTTTTGAGATCGGTGGTCAACAAAGAAGCGACAACACTTCGTACACCCATCGTGCTCATTTAAGAGGGTACGTTCGGTGTCTGAGAGAGGGGGAAGTTTGACATAGGAAGATGCAGATGAAGTAGTTGTGTTCGTTGGAGTGGTATTTCCGCGGCGAGAAGGGCCACGTAAGGTCTCAGTTTTGGTATTTTGATGTTTAGCCTGGCGGTCGATCGTCTCTTCGATGAGTTCGCGCTGACGTTTAGTTTCAACTGCCCGCGCTTCGTCGAGGAGATGGACGGAGTTGATCCAGGTCTTTAGAACCTTGTCTTTTTGCGTCTCATTATGCTTAAGACAATTGCGGAGTTCTTCATCGAGGTGTGCCTCGAGATGATTACGGAGGGCGGCGTCGTCGAACTCAGAGGAGGTACCGCACAGGAGACAGTTGAGTTTGAGTAGCTGTTGCGACCAATTCCAAAATGAAGTTTTGGAAGATGCGAGCATGGAAGTGAGGATCTTATTGCGAATCTGATCCTCCCAGTCCTGTTGGAGGTAATTCACTCGCATTTCCTTCATGAAATCCGAGAAAGGGAGGATGATGATACGAGCGCGGTCTGCAGAAATCCAGTCACGGATCTGAAGATCTTTGATGCCGGGAATAATCATGGTAACATGTTTGTCGGCAGGGACGGACTTGGAAATGAAAAAATCGAGGGCTGCGTTTTCAAAATCCATCATCACTCCAGGAGAAATATCCCCTGCGGTGAGAACGGGCGCCTTAGCACTGGTGGGTTCGACGGTTGCAAGTGCGGACATGGTAGAATTATGATTTAGGTGGATATATGCACCTTTCTCAGAGTCAGAAGAGTCTGATGAAAGACAGAACGGTGGAGAAGGTGTGGGGGATGACAAGGGCGACGAGGAGCTTTGTTGTGGTGAAGGACAACTGCTTCTAACACATGTGTTAGAGGGTAGACCGTCGAGGATGGGGAGTTGTTGAGAGAGGGCGGTGGTGCGGGTGAAGCGAAGTTGTTCCAGTGTTACAGTAACGTGAGTGCGTCCTCAGAAAGGAGTTCACAACGGTGACGGTGTAGCGGTACAGGCGAGCGGCCCTCCACTAATCAGACGGTCAGCTAGGTCTATATGCATGTCACAAGTGACAACGCGCAGCGACAAACGTACAGAATTGATGTGAATACACGCCAATCAAACGCCTAAGGGAAAAACCGATAGGTCGTGTCTATATGCGCGGGATTCACATCAGAATCTATAACAGCGGCGAAAATTCAAAAAAAGTGTAAATCTATCTGCTAGGATAGATTCCACTGCTTACAAGACAGACCAACAGAATTTAACCGCTTATATGATTCTGGAGGTCTGAGGGGGAGTAAGGGTACAGGGAAGTAAGGTGTGTAGGAGAAGGTGGTGGTAAGAGTCCAAGTGCTAGAGAGCGCGTATATACCAAAAATACGAGAACCAAGCAACAAGACCAAACATGAGCAATGGGACCAAACAGGGGTAATGCGCCAGGATTACAAAGAGATGAGGAAAATATCATTGTATAATGTCCAATTTTCATCCCAGACCGTAGACCTGTATATGAGGGGTCAGGTTGGGACTATGGCGAAAAGCAGAAAGGTCAGAAAATGTATTATCACAGTAATGGGTCACATAGTATAGGACTCAGAAAAGGTATACAAAACAGTCCAGTTGTCTGTTGAGGGCGATCCTTTCAAGTTACGATTGTGACATCAGTGGTCACTGACAGATACAGCCCCATGTCCCATTTGAGTTCGACGGGGTTGAGCTTCCAAACACTGGTGTGCTTGTCGGGTCCCTCGTACTAGGCACGTCCATACTCGGATTGGAGTTGAAGAAGGACGTGGGTTTGAACGTGACGCTCAGCTGTTCCACAGGCGTACTACAAGTAAAGATTGGAAGACACAGAAAGCAACGGGAAGCACGTACACGGGCCAATCTTCAGGTCTGGGTATGTGAGTGCTGTCTTTCTTTAAAGCAAGCAACTCAATACAAAAAAATGACAAATTAGAGGACAAAGAGAGATACTTACCAACTGTCAAGTAAACTAAAATATCCTCATCAACAACAGGCAACTCCCCCTTCACCCATTCTCCAATCGAATCTTTCGCCTGCTCCCTCGATTGTGGAACATACTTGCCAGAAGGCCACATCACTGCCCCACTTCCCACCTTCCCCTTCGACGTCTCTGCACATTCAAACCGTGTTCTTTGAAAAAGCAGCCCTCACAGCAGCCCAGGAGTCTTCCCTAACCATCATAGGTGTCACCAGGGTATACCCGACATCTCTGCCTGAACTGTAGTGATTCTTGGCCGAGTTGACGATTCTCCACCTACGTTCTTTAGCATAATCATATTCGGCCTGCTTCCTTCTCAGTGACTTTGTCCATGGAGACGAAGGTGTTTCCAGCAAAGTTTGCAGCTGATCCTGTAGGTGCATCAGGCAAGGGCATGATATCCGATTCGATGAGGGTATTGTTAAGCCCATCGATCATTGGGTCAACACGAATGCTGAACATATGTTGATGATAGTGTGCTCTGATATCGGGAGCCACCAACATGTCGTGTGAGATGGGCTCATCGTTGCTTGCGACGTAGGTCGGCAACATTCCCATAAGCCGGATCTCGAACTCGATGCTGCCGTCTTGGTAAAAGTGATAGTTCCAGATGTAATCGATTAATCTGCCAAGTGCACGCCAAGCGCATGGATGAATAAGATGTATGAAGGCAGCCTGCAGGGGATCGGCAACAAACCATAATTCGCCAATGTGCACACCATGCTGATCACCAACCTGCATCTCCGTACAGTATGTGATCTGCCTCCAGGGCGAAAATCCATGTGTTTCCAAAGAACGCCAGCATCTTCCTCGTGAATGCAGACTGCATTCTTGATAAAGAAGGCACTCCCGGCATGGGTGACGTATGAACCTGGTTAAGCCTGGCTATCATTGATATCGGTTCCCAGAGTTCATTCACACACAACCCAACATACCAGACAATGTATCTGCCCTAGGCAATCACAACCAAGCGAAAGCTTGTTTGCCATCATTCCCTTGCCATATTCCCCCCTATGCAAAATGTGTTAGAAACTACTGATGGTTTTACAGAAAAAAAAAGAACTCACGAATCAGAGGCAAACTTCCTTAAATGTGGATGTTCCGGTGCGCCATAAGGTACAACCATCTCTGCCAAAGAGAGTTGGTACATGATGGACCTCACTACCCCATGGTCATCAGACGTCATCGTCAACAAGGCAATGCCTTCTTGAGGGCTGAACTCTTGATTAGTCTCTAACTAAGCTGATATGGGAGAACTGGCTGAGCGACATGCAAATTCCAGTTCTGCCATGCTAGCACATTACCACTGCCATCAAGTCAGGCAGGGAGGCCCACGTTTGTCGGGGAGGTGGAATATGCTCACGTCCAGATCCTGTCAATGCATCGGCATCCCTTGGTGGTGGAGCAGTACTGTCTGCGCTGAGCTTGATGGCACCTTCTGCTGTGCGCACATAGCGAGGGGGGAAGTCTAGAGCACGGAAACCTATGAGAACATGACACAGGAGCAGCATTTAGAACGACTCACCAATATGAAGACATTCTCCTTTGTCAAAGTCGACAATGGGGATAGAGTGATAGGAAGTGAATGCTTTGAATTTCGTGATGGAATGATGAGATCGATATCATACCATAGGGTGGGCATAAAGGTTATCATGTGGCGAAAAGAGAGCAAACACCAGTGCCTGTTGAAGCCTCCTACTTTGAGGGAACCGTTTGTCATACCCTAATGACCACATGTCACAAAACATTTGCTAAGGAAGGATGCCTTGATGCGAGGTCAAGCAATGTAAGAGTCAGACGGAGAAGTAATAGACTTACTTCCTTCGCGAGAGCTTGAACTTTTGGGTCATTCTTCACAAGAACTTCGCATGCAGCAAGTTCCTCCATGGTCATTTGTGAATGAGCTTCTTCTGGAAGAAGAGTAAGAATGTCGACATTCCATGCTTCATCGCTCGAAGACACGATTGCGTTGTAGCAGCAGCTGTATAAAGCATGAAGAGAGTGCTAAGGCAATTGAACATCCAAATCCGTGGTGTACCCAGTCACAACATCTATGAACTTTCAAGCGATGAAGGATAAGCCTTCTGTGTGAACATGACAAAGAGAAAAACATACGTCCACCTCTGCCTTTCTGACAATCGGAACAGGCTCCTTCAGTACTTTACAGTGCCCCTCCCATTCCTGCAGGAATCCGCCGGAATCCACAGGAATCCACAGGAATCCACAGGAATCTGCAGGAATGGGACCGGAATCTGCAGGAATCCACAGGAATCCGCAGGAATGGGACCAGAATCCACAGGAATCCGCAGGAATGGGACTGGAATAGAAGTAAAATCACAGATACAACATACATTTACACCAATACACACTTCTGCATACTTCTCTCAGTACTTTTTAAGCTGATCAGTTTTCAGTATTAGTTCTGATCAGACCTTGGACAAAGTAAGGAGATATTATGTGACTGAATCTAACTCAGGCCTTCTGCTGACAGCTTAATCTTAGGATTCCTTAAGACATTTATACTTAAAGAGGGAAGATTCATTTAAACTCATTTATTAAAAATACATGATGGAATTTATCTACATTGAATCTAGATAGAGGGAGGGGGAGGAGTGGAGGGAGAGGGGAAAAGTGGAGGGAGTGGAGGGAGTGAGGGGGAAGGAGTGGAGGGGTAGGGGTGCTGGGGAGTGGGGGGAATGAAGAACTAGAGGGGGGGGAAAAACTGAAGGGAGGGCAGTGAGGGAGAGGGGAGGTAGGGAATGAGGGAATGAAGGCAGGGGGTAGGGAATGAAGACAGGGGGTAGGGAATGAAGGGGGTAGGGAATGAAGGGAGGGGGTTGGGAATGAAGGGGGTAGGGAGAGGGAGGGAGTGGTGAGCAGGAAAGGAGGGGGAGTAAGGGAGGGGGAAGGGGATGGTGGGTAGTGGGTGAGCAGTAGGGAGAGGGAAGGAGTTGTGAGCAGCAGGGGAGGGGGAGGGAGTGGTCTCGTTGGCGCGCATCGTCGACGCGTCATCGCGTCGTGTCGTCGTCCTCACGTGTTGTCGTCCTCGTTGGTGTCGTGTCCGCTGGGCGTTGTGTTGTGGGCGTTAGGCGTCGTTTCGTGGGCGCTGGGCGTCGTTTCGTGGGCGCTGGGCGTCGTTTCGTGGGCGCTGGGCGTCGTTTCGTGGGCAGCCTGTGGTTTTCGTGGGCACTGTGGTGTTTTCGTGGGCGCCGTGGTGTTTTCGTGGGCGCCGTGCTGTTTTCGTGGGCGCCGTCACCCGTGAACCCCGGTTGTTTGGTCCTGTTAGATAGGAACTCGATGTGCTTGTTCCTGTCTAACTAGATACAAAACCACTTTTCCAGCGCTCTGGGCAATAACTTTCATTACCTCCCTACCTTTTTACTACTTAAGACTTGTAGTAGAATAACTTTGTCCGCATTGGGATGTATCCTTTCCCATCAATGCTGGCCGTACACCCGTTGCGTCCCATCAATGCCATCATTGCTTTATCATTGCCGACTACCAAATCCGGTAATGGTTCTCACCGTGGGTGTCATCCCGCCGTCCCGCCCCCCAGTGATGAACATGGTGTTTCCACTGTTACTGGGCCGTTTCCCCTCAAATATTTTGCTAATTATACTGTTCTGTAGTGTGTTATGTATATTATGAGGTCAATTCAATGGTTCCCTGCCCTAGAGCATCACAATGTGCTGTGCAGATGATTATGGTGGTGACCAACATCAGTATCCATCTCCTGGGAGGTCTCTAAGTGAAATAGACACATCAGACAGGCAGTAATATGCTCACTGGGGATGGGGGAGATGTTCTATAGGCTGTAACATCCTCAGAACATGCATTCATGGTAGAGTAATTGAGATAAATTCCCCCCCTTTCCCCCCCATGGTATACCCCCACTAGAGCATCCCTAAAGCAAGGGATAGAGAGTATATTACATATGATTGATTTAGGGTGGCTCAGAATAGGCATCTGAGGGTTCAGGGTATCTGTACTGCTCAATATGCCCCCAGGGCATATAAATTCCTATGGAAGCCCCAGGGCAATATGTTCAATTATTATTGGATAGAAAGGTAGTATAATAGCATAACAATGAGAATATAAGGTTGTATTTGGAGCGCTTTACATGGGGAATGGTGCATGGAGAGGGGGAGGGGGAGACATACTGCCCATCAGTTACATCACCAATGACCTTCATTTACCACATATAACAGCTGATTCACATACTACAAAATACCCTTGGTCAACCTGCAGCAAGTAGGTAGCCTGGGGATGGCTATATAAAATTATTTGAGGGAGGTGAACAGAAGTCAGTGAAAAGTGCGAAATTGGCATACTGTGACCTTGCCATTTTAGATAAAAAATATATGAGGTGGTAGAAGGTAGGGCTGGGGTAGCTAGAGGGTGGTTCAAAAAGAATTAAAGAGATTGAGCAGATGAGCAAGGCAGGAGGTTTGAAAAAGGTGTCTTGATGCATACAGAGATATGGAGGGAATTTATGGTCACAACCAGTGACTATCTATGTACCATCATCCCGCTCCATATCTAACCTCCTGTGATCATTATCTGCTCAGAGTTCAGATATAATTGCATAGCTTCAGTATTCACAGTTGAAGCTGTACGTTCATGATCTGCATAATAAATAGTTTCACAGTTGTTACAATATCCAGAAAGCAACTGAACATTTTTAAAGACCTCTGTGCCTTTGATTAAAGTCACTCTTGGAATATGGCGTGTTTGGGTATTTTGTTTTAAAAAACATCGCCCACAGCCTGCAGTTAAACAGACAGAAGAGTTTGGGCAAATCAACAGTGCTGGTTGAATGGAACTGTGTGATATGTGCTTCAAAGTACCAGTGAATTTTTGTTTATTATTGTATGGGTAAAGGCCCAATAAATGTGAGAATCCACCAAGTTTCACAGCTAATGATGAAACATTACTCTCTCTAGCAGTTGCATTTTTAAACATGGATAGCTCATGTTCTGAGAATAGGGTTTCTGCATCATTGTCACCAAGTTGTTCAATAATTGCACGTGCTAAACACTTAATCCATGATGTTGCCTTAGGTCCAGGGTTTTGTTTAAAATTGAGAGAGAGAAGCTCTGTATTGTTGGTCATTGACAGCAACATCATGAAAACTGTTGGCAGAGATATTTTTTCACCAAAGTTGTTGATAATGAAGTCACTAAAGTCTTGAAAGCTTATGTCTGGGAATGGAGCAGACTGTGGGCTTGCTAAGACATGTGGAATCAAGAATGTCATCCACAAAAGCAGAGCTAACTGAGAACTCAGTCCAGTGAGAGCAATCATGTAGGCCAAAAAGCTCAAGTTGCCAGCAAGACCATCCAGATAATAGGAAAGAACCAGTGCACCCAAAAGACCGAAAAGATTCAAACTACTGTACAAATGAAAGTCATGAGAAATACACAGATGGTAGTACAAAGATAAGACCTGTCAAGGTTAGCATACTTACTATTTGCGCTTGGAAGATCCACTCTTGGAAGTGGCCACCTTCTTAGCAGATCCAGCAGGCTTCTTTGATGTAGATGCTTTCTTGGATGTGCTAGAAGTCGCCGCAGATGCATCCTTTGCTGCTCCTTTCTTCGGCTTAACCAACGATCCTCCATTCTGCACCCATGCAAGAAGCTCTGCAAAGTGATATGCCTTCAACTTCACCCCAAACAACTCTTCCGTCTCCATACATTCCTCTTCATCACTCAGCCACTTTACCATCTCTGGATACTCCGCTACGGCAATAACTTTCATTACCTCCCTACCTTTTTACTACTTAAGACTTGTAGTAGAATAACTTTGTCCGCATTGGGATGTATCCTTTCCCATCAATGCTGGCCGTACACCTGTTGCGTCCCATCAATGCCATCATTGCTTTATCATTGCCGACTACCAAAAATTCCCTCCATATCTCTGTATGCATCAAGACACCTTTTTCAAACCTCCTGCCTTGCTCATCTGCTCAATCTCTTTAATTCTTTTTGAACCACCCTCTAGCTACCCCAGCCCTACCTTCTACCACCTCATATATTTTTTATCTAAAATGGCAAGGTCACAGTATGCCAATTTCGCACTTTTCACTGACTTCTGTTCACCTCCCTCAAATAATTTTATATAGCCATCCCCAGGCTACCTACTTGCTGCAGGTTGACCAAGGGTATTTTGTAGTATGTGAATCAGCTGTTATATGTGGTAAATGAAGGTCATTGGTGATGTAACTGATGGGCAGTATGTCTCCCCCTCCCCCTCTCCATGCACCATTCCCCATGTAAAGCGCTCCAAATACAACCTTATATTCTCATTGTTATGCTATTATACTACCTTTCTATCCAATAATAATTGAACATATTGCCCTGGGGCTTCCATAGGAATTTATATGCCCTGGGGGCATATTGAGCAGTACAGATACCCTGAACCCTCAGATGCCTATTCTGAGCCACCCTAAATCAATCATATGTAATATACTCTCTATCCCTTGCTTTAGGGATGCTCTAGTGGGGGTATACCATGGGGGGGAAAGGGGGGGAATTTATCTCAATTACTCTACCATGAATGCATGTTCTGAGGATGTTACAGCCTATAGAACATCTCCCCCATCCCCAGTGAGCATATTACTGCCTGTCTGATGTGTCTATTTCACTTAGAGACCTCCCAGGAGATGGATACTGATGTTGGTCACCACCATAATCATCTGCACAGCACATTGTGATGCTCTAGGGCAGGGAACCATTGAATTGACCTCATAATATACATAACACACTACAGAACAGTATAATTAGCAAAATATTTGAGGGGAAACGGCCCAGTAACAGTGGAAACACCATGTTCATCACTGGGGGGCGGGACGGCGGGATGACACCCACGGTGAGAACCATTACCGGATTTGGTAGTCGGCAATGATAAAGCAATGATGGCATTGATGGGACGCAATGGGTGTACGGCCAGCATTGATGGGAAAGGATACATCCCAATGCGGACAAAGTTATTCTACTACAAGTCTTAAGTAGTAAAAAGGTAGGGAGGTAATGAAAGTTATTGCCCAGAGCGCTGGAAAAGTGGTTTTGTATCTAGTTAGACAGGAACAAGCACATCGAGTTCCTATCTAACAGGACCAAACAACCGGGGTTCACGGGTGGGCGCCATGGTGTTTTCGTGGGTGTTCGTGGTGTTTTCGTGGGTGTTATGGTGTTTTCGTGGGCAGTGGGTGGTCGTTACGTGGGTTGTGAGATGCGGGTGACGAACGACGTCAACGTCGTTGGCGTTGCGGCGTGTGTGGTCGTTGTGGGCGCTTGTGGATGGTGGTGGGTTCGTCGCGTTGTCGTCATTGTGACGTGGCATTGCGGCATTTGCGTGGTCGTCGTGGTGGGTGCTCGTGGATGGTGGTGGGTGCTCGTGGATGGTGGTGGTGTTGTTGTTGTCGTCTGTTTGGCTGCCACGTCGCTGGCGGTGGTCGTTGCCGTTCGTTGCTGGGTGGTCGTTGCCGTTGTGGAGTCGTCGTCGTCGTCGTGGGTTGGCGTGGCGTTGTCGCTTTATCGTGGCTGTCGTGGGGGTGGGGAAGAGGATGGTTGATGGTGGTGGAAAAAAAAAAAAAAGGCATGGTCTTGAATTTGTTTGGTAACGTTGCCTTTGTTTGGTAACAGAAGTAAAACAAACAAACAAAGGACCGGATTCCGTTGCATTCCGTTCCTGTGCATTCCGCGGATCATTCCGGTGTCAATTCCGGAATGCCCAAATTCCGCCGGAATGGTAAGGCACCAGAATGGTGAAAATAGCAGGCCTCCCTGCCAAATTTCATTCCTCCGGAATCCACCGGAATCCGCCGGAATGACCGGATTCCTGCAGGAATTAGGGGGGCACTGATAAGACCTCAGCTCCTTGGGCTTCCCCCCAGGTGTCAGGGTAATTCCAAGGTGCGCCAACACTGCTCTTTTTGGTGCAGGTAGCAAAGAGCATGTATTGAATTTGATGGCCTTGATTTCTGTCTTCGCAGCGATGTAATGCCGAACGGCGAGCATCATAGCGGGGATCTACACACAATTGAGTGTTCGACGCCTTAAACTTCAAACAATGTATGCAAAACGATACCTCATTGGGAGTCAGTGGGTCCAAAGGGTGATTGAAACCTTTTGGAAGATGTTTGCCACGTAAAGTTTGGATGACGGTCGGCATGCCCGTCACGACTACTGGAGGTCCTAAACTAGTGATCCCAGTGGTAAGCTAGGAAGATATTGAGTCGAAAGGATACCGTACCTTCATACCTTAATCACCTTGCTTGTCAAGGTATCTTCCATGCCTGCCATCACTTCTCCATCATCCTCCCGAGAAATATTTTGTGGTTCATTTCCTTTTTTGCTGGAGAAAGAGAAACCTATTGAAAGACGGAATATTAATAATCAGAAATTGACTGACATTAAATGGCACTGAGATATATACACAAGCCAATGGGGCTTGAAGCCACAACTCCAGGCCAATGATATTACAGTTGAAACCCTCGTAACCCATGCTTCTGATAACCCATAACCCCTGAAGGCCTGAAATCCCATGCCATTTTGGATCCACCGAGTTGGTGGGCAGGGATTTGCACACCATAACCCATAACCCATAGCCCTTGGTGGGCAAAACCCACAGGTTTTGGACCCTAAGTTAGGGTTATACCTACCAAAAATGGTCATGCATTTTTCACTTTTTTTTCGTGACGCTCAATAAAATCTACCACAACACCAAATTTATTGACCTACTGATCGCCAAATTCTCTGAAATCAACCTGCAGTGCCCCTCCTCCCCAGATCAAGCTTCCCTAAATCACGAAGTCAACACTGTTGAGTAGAAATACATCAATGATGACTTGCCCCAGTGGTGCTGATTGTTTTCCTTGCAGTCCAGCAAACAAAGAATATTACATTTTTGCGAAATTTCCATGCTTTTTTTGAGTGCTTACTTTTTTCCCACCCCCTCCAACCCATAACCTCCGAAAACCCATAGGCTGGACTGTCCACGGAAGGGTATGGGTTACGAGGGTTTCAACTGTACTAGTAGTAGATGCCTGCCCTAAACTAAAGGCGGCCCTAAAGTGCCTCAGGTATATAGCGCTGTCTTTCGCGTCTCTTTTCCTTTCTTCTGCACTCCCTAATCCCCCCTCGTATTTAGATATAATGCAGTATGCCCATGTCACTGTCTTATACGTGGTAACCTGTACTTACTTACTGTAGAATACGTGAATGAAAATGACGCGAAAACGAAAGTAAAGTAGATGTTTGATAACAATTGTTTGTACCAGAACTACATGAAAAAGAAGCCAGGGGGATAGCGCACGTGTCTTTGACCTGCGAACCCTCAATAAGCCTAGAAGCTGCTCCCAGAACCTACGTCATTGACCCGTGAACTGGCGGCATGTCATTGACCCGTGAATGGTAAGTTTGTATCCGTGTAACCCCCGATCATTGAATTGGCGAAAAAAACTTCTTTTTCAAAGACAGAACATAGGTTCTTGCAACCATCTCTCCCGTACCCATCTTCGTCCAATGCACCCAACCTCTCAAGCGCACTGCTTCCGAATGTCTCCTGAAAAATGCCGACCAAATTGGATTGTATTAGTTAGGAGGTCACATACTGATTTTTGTGTTGTGTGGAAGGTGTGCCGATTCATAGGGTGCGCCGAAGTGCTGGCATAGTACGCTTTTCTCATCTCATCTCCTCTTCCTCTCAACTTACTGTGTTTTGACCTAGGCACTCCGTCAACCTTCCATTGAGGGGGTTGAAGATGAGGACAACCGGTGGCCTCGCAGGATGCTCTCTTCCCCTTCAATTCACATTTTCATAAATCAAGACCTTCTGTGACAGAAGATTAATTGATCAGCCTTGCAGAGATTTTAAATGTTGCCGAAGTTGCATCTAATTCGAAAAAATTCTGTTCCAGTCCATTTCAATAACGACTGAAGCCATGGGTGTAGAAAAGGAGCTTGTCAGCCTCATGAGTTCTCCACTCCTTGTTGCCAGTTTTCATTCGTATCTTCCACTCAGTCAGGTCTTTTTCCCATTTAAAGGTCGTGCTTCAGCAATAGTAGACGAATTCTACCTGTGTGCTACCCCAAATCGTGATGATGTATGCTTTGTGTTCCCCCTTTTCAGTATGTATCCCAGTGCTAATCACAGCCCTTGCCCTTAGGCAATCTAGCCAACTGCCCCGGGATTGCTCGTCTGAGGCTGACTTTTGTCTCTTGGACATCCTACCATCTTTTGCTCCTTCCGAGAGAGGTGGAGAGAGGCCTGCACCCTCAGAAGACCCCACATCGAGCTCTCCCCCCCAACTGCCCCAGGATTGCTTGTCTGAGGCTGACTTTTGTCTCTTGGACGTCCTATCGTCTTTTGCTGCTTCTGAGAGAGGTGGAGAGAGACCTGCGCCCTCAGAAGACCCCACATTGAGCTCCCCCCCCCTACTGTTCCAGGATCGCTCGTCTGAGGCTGATGAGACTCGTCTCATGGATGTCCCACAGTCTCCTGCTCCTTTCGAGAGAGGTGGAGAGAGGCCTGCGCCCTCGAAAGATCCCGCATTGAGCTCCCCCTCCCAACTGCCCAAGGATCGCTCGTCCGAGGCTGAATCTTGTCTCTTGGACGTCCTACCGTCTTCTGCTCCTTCCCTGTGTGTTCCCTTCCGCTACTCTTGTCTCAACCCAGCGCTAACGCTAACTAATGGTGGCCTTAGGACTACCATCACTAGGCCCGAAAATCAGATTCAGAAATGGCCTTATGCCTTCTCTCATAATCACTCTCCTTACGCCCTCTCCCCTAATACCGAAGACATCACCTTCAGCACCCATCATGGAGTTGCTCCTTCCCGGAAAGGTAAAGAGAGAGCATCAAGCTCCCTCCCTCGTGCCCAGGGAGACACAGATGATGAAAAGGCCCTGTGCGTTCCCTTCCTGCTACTCTTGTCTTAACCCAGCACTAATGCTAACTAATGGTGGCCTTAGGACCACCATCGCTAGGCCTGAAAATCAGATTCCATCTGAACATTGGTGTGAGGAACTGCCACGAAATGGCCCCCACTCTCCTTACGCCATTACCGAAGAAATCATCTTCAGCACCAATCATGGAGATCGGCCTGAAGACCCACCACGTAACGAGGATTACCAAAGGCCGCTAACCCCTATGCAATTTAACTCTTCTTCAGAGGTCTTATCAGTGCCCCCCTAATTCCTGCAGGAATCCGGTCATTCCGGCGGATTCCGGTGGATTCCAGAGGAATGAAATTTGGCAGGGAGGCCTGCTATTTTCACCATTCCGGTGCCTTACCATTCCGGCGGAATTTGGGCATTCCGGAATTGACACCGGAATGATCCGCGGAATGCACAGGAACGGAATGCAACGGAATCCGGTCCTTTGTTTGTTTGTTTTACTTCTGTTACCAAACAAAGGCAACGTTACCAAACAAATTCAAGACCATGCCTTTTTTTTTTTTTTCCACCACCATCAACCATCCTCTTCCCCACCCCCACGACAGCCACGATAAACCGACAACGCCACGCCAACCCACAACGACGACGATGACTCCACAACGGCGACGACCACCCAGCAACGAACGGCAACGACCACCGCCAGCGACGTGGCAGCCAAACGGACGACAACAACAACACCACCACCATCCACGAGCACCCACCACCATCCACGAGCACCCACCACGACGACCACGCAAATGCCGCAACGCCACGTCACAATGACGACAACGCGACGAACCCACCACCATCCACGAGCGCCCACAACGACCACGCACGCCGCAACGCCAACGACGTTGACGTCGTTCGTCACCCGCATCTCACAACCCACGTAACGACCACCCACTGCCCACGAAAACACCATAACACCCACGAAAACACCACGAACACCCACGAAAACACCACGGCGCCCACGAAAACACCACAGCGCCCACGAAAACCACAGGCTGCCCACGAAACGACGCCCAGCGCCCACGAAACGACGCCTAACGCCCACAACACAACGCCCAGCGGACACGACACCAACGAGGACGACAACACGTGAGGACGACGACACGACGCGATGACGCGTCGACGATGCGCGCCAACGAGACCACTCCCTCCCCCTCCCCTGCTGCTCACAACTCCTTCCCTCTCCCTACTGCTCACCCACTACCCACCATCCCCTTCCCCCTCCCTTACTCCCCCTCCTTTCCTGCTCACCACTCCCTCCCTCTCCCTACCCCCTTCATTCCCAACCCCCTCCCTTCATTCCCTACCCCCTTCATTCACTACCCCCTGTCTTCATTCCCTACCCCCTGCCCTCATTCCCTCATTCCCTA